TAGCCAGTCAGCTTAGATAGTACACTTCTGGACAAATCTACTATCTAGTAAATATATTACAGATTACTAACATATGTAATTTGTGCCAATGACTGAGGGTCTACCCGGGCTGGACGGGAATAGCATGACCAAAAAGCTTATGTCGAAGTTACCTCTCACGATTATCACTTGGCGTGGATTAGTCTTCCGTCGTATCCAGGTGCTACAGCTACTTCGAAGACGTACAACACAAACAACGTTGTTACGGAGATGTATTAGCACGAGTAAGCACAACATACAGTGTAACCACGGCCTCATGGGTCAGTCCTTGACTTGCAATTAACTAATGCGCACTGGTTGTCCTTGAACTCGACGAAGATTCGTAAACTGTTTTATATCCAGTGACTTGACTGGCTAGGGACCAGTAACATTTCAGTGACCCTACGATGTATTCCAACCACTTCATTTCTCATTCCTGTTTTGACAGCTTCGATTATGAAAGCGTTACGAACAACGTTGTTCTGAATATCTGTTATGTTGGAGGGCAGTAAGTAATTACTTACTTACTTACTTACGCCTCTTACTCCTCGTGAAGGAGCATAGGCCGCTCACCAGCATTCTCCATCCAACCCTGTCCTGGGCAATCCTTTCTACCTCTTTCCAGTTGTAATTCATCGTTTTCATATCTGCTTCTATTATCCGACGCAATGTGTTCTTTGGCCTTCCACTTTTTCGCTTCCCTTCAGGATTCCAAGTTAGGGCTTGCCTCGTGATGCAGTTTGACGATTTGCGTAATGAATGTCCTATCCATTTCCATCGTCTTTTCCTAATTTCTTCTTCAGCGACCCTTGCTTTGCCGATCCTCGCCTTCACGTCTGCATCGGATCCTCCTTGTTCATCGATGATGCTTCCCAGGTATGTGAAGGACTGTAGTGGCATTGGACAATAGCCCCACAATCCACAAAGCTGTGAACACGAGACTACACAGAAAATAGATATTCAATATTTAACGCGGAGAAATACCCAACGATGGGGAAGACGCGAATAATGAATTGAATGGACTAGAGTTGATCGAGTGGCATGGCTCGGCCATGCAGGCGTGGTCTCTGCGGAATGTTACCTTATATCTTCTATTCATATTAAATATATTGTTCTTTCTCTAGCCTAACCTTGTTCTACATCATGTATTGGTAATTGATACGATACAGTGAGTTGGTGTAATTGATGGTGTGACTTCCACGTAAGATCTTATAGATTAGGCAGTTATATCATGACAAATCTACAAATTTAGGATTAGGTCTATTAATAGAGCACTACTAATATCATAGTTGACCATAATTCTACAGGACTCTACATCTTCCAGAGTTTCGCCATCAAGTGTGATTGGATTGCTGTTCTCCGCTTTGAATTTGAGGACCTTAGTTTTCCCTTTGTGTATGCTGAGGCCTACTGATGCAGAGACTGTTACTACACTGGCTGTCTTCATCTGCATCTGTTCGTGTGTACGTGATAGGAGGGCTAGGTCATCTGCGAAGTCCAAATCGTCTAATTGGTTCTGAGCTGTCCATTGTATTCCATGTTTTCCTTCAGATGTTGAGGTCTTCATAATCCAGTCGACCACCAGAAGAAAGAGGAAGGGAGAGAGTAAACAGCCTTGTCTGACTCCGGTCCTTACTTGGAATGCATCTGTCAGCTGTTCTCCATGCACTACTTTGCACTGTAGTCCGTCGTATGAGTTCCAGATAATATTGACAATCTTCTCAGGAACTCCGTAATGTCGAAGAAGTTTCCATAATGTCCTCCTATCTACACTGTCGAATGCCTTTTCATAATCAACGAAGTTGATGTATAGTGATGATTTCCACTCAACTGATTGTTCGACGATGATCCGTAGTGTTGCACTTTGGTCTGTGCACGACTGATCCTTACGGAATCCAGCTTGTTGATCTCGAAGTTGGGCGTCTACTGAGTCTTTCTGCCGATTCAGTAGCACTCTGTTGAAGACCTTCCCTGGTATCGACAATAGTGTAATGCCTATGTAGTTCTTACACTTGCTCAGATCTCCTTTCTTTGGAATCTTGACGAGGTGTCCTTCTTTCCAGTCCATCGGCACTTGTTCCTCCTCCCAAATCTTTTTGAATAGAAGATAAAGCATGCTTGTGGTTGCTTCGATGTCTGATTTCAGTGCTTCTGCTGGTATGTTGTCGGGTCCTGCTGCTTTCCTATTCTTGATTTGTCTGACGGCCATTCTAATTTCTTCCGTAGTTGGTGGATTGACATCTATAGGAAGATCTATGTGTGCTGCTTCGATGTCCGGTGGATTGATTGGAGCCGGCCTATTCAGGAGTTCCTCCAAGTATTCTACTCTTCTGTTACGCTGTTGTTGAATTTCGGTGATTTTCCTGCCTTCTTTGTCTTTGATCGGTCTCCCTGGTTTACTGTATTTCCCTGCTAGTTTCTTCGTTGTATCGTGAAGCTGTTTCATGTTTCCTTCTCTAGCAGCTTTTTCTGCCGTCTTTGCTAGTTTTTCCACGTATTTCTTCTTGTCGGCTCTAATGCTCCTATTCACTTGCTTGTTTGCTTCCATATATTCAGCTTGTGCTTGGACTTTCTATGCTCGTGTTCGGCTGTTGTTTATTGCTGCCTTCTTGTTCTTCCTTTCTTGTCCAGTGTTTCTGTAGAGATCCATTCCTTATGATGGTATTTCTTTAGACCGAGAACCTCTTGACACGTTGAAGTTAATGCTTCCTTGATGCCTTTCCAGTTGTCCTCCATAGTAGTTTCTTCTTCTTTCAGTAGATCTTGTAAGACTTGGAACCTGTTGTTGAGAGCTATCTTGAATTCATTGAGTTTGTCAGTATCTCGAAGGAAGGCTGTATTGAACCTTTGTAGTGCTGTTTGTCCAGTTGTCCAGTTTTTCTCTGGCTTCAGTTTTAAATTGGCTACAACTAGGTGGTGATCTGAAGCTACGTCAGCACCTCTCCTGGTTCTCACATCTTCCATTGTCCTTCGGAATTTTTTGTTGATGTAAATATGATCTATTTGGTTCTCTGTAGTGTGGTCCGGTGAGATTCATGTAGCCTTGTGTATACGCTTGTGTGGAAATATTGTGCCTCCTATGACCAATTTGTTGAATGTACATAGATTTGCAAATCTTTCTCCATTTTCGTTTCTTTCTCCCAGTCCATGTCGTCCCATAATATCTTCATATCCAGTGTTGTCTATTCCGACTTTGGCATTTAGATCTCCCATCAGAATAGTTAGGTCTTTTCTTGGGTATTTCTCAATGATTGACTGCAGCCGCTCGTAGAATTGATCTTTAATGTCGTCGTTGCTATCATTGTTGGGTGGTAGTAAGCAATGAGGCTGCTTATTTTAATCTTCAAGATGACTTCGACAAGTTAGTTAGATAGTTTCAGAGCTGATGAAAATTATTTTAGAAAGCGTTGCTGGAGCACACCGATGACAGCAATGGTTAACGTTATACCGTCAGTAGTACATCACTTCTATATATGCAGGAACAAAATGCCGTACGAATATTAGTAATTTATGACTTGGAAGTAACTGCCCATTGCAGTGCTACGGCTGCCAAATATATTTTTGAGTTTTTTGTCACTTCGCCGTGCACTCAAATGCCAGGGGGTGTTTCGGATTCTGTACTCCACCTCTGTTAAACATCACTTAGTGTATGGTATCTAAGCAACTGGTCCATGTCTTACCAAGAAAGTTGCCACGTTCGAGAGAGTTCAACTTGTGGAGACCGTTAGTGACGAGTCTCTTTATACTCCATCACAATGGCGATTTAAAACACCTAAAGACTTTTCCTTAATCTTATCGTAGAACGCAAAGTAACCTTACTTAGGCATTTCTCGTCCTAATTATAACTGGGGTTGTAGAAGTCCCTATCATTTTTCTATATCAATGACCAATCATCTTCGGGGACAGAAAGAATGTTAGCAAACTGCGATCAAGTGCAATTAGTGGGAATACATTTTATAATCGAGTGGTCAATGTCTGAAAACATAGTGTATAAAGAAATGTTTAGCGGTAAATAAATTCTCGAAATAAAGTTCTGTACGATTACGACACTGATGCTCAACTCATTAATTTTACTGGAGACACCTAGCTGAAAGCGATCGGTCATGAATCCGCACCAAATCACGGGTGAGTACGTTGGGTTACGCATCACATGCAACCTCTAACCATCTTAGACAGAACGCTTCTCGATATATCAACAGTCTTCCATATATGCCTTTAAACAATTAAATTTCTTACTTCTGATTTGACTGTGTTGGGGTACTTCGATTAACGAGGTCTAACGTGTAAAGGCATTGTCAAACTTCAAATACATGTGGCATCTTCAATGCCACAGGTATTTGAAGTTAGACAGCGCTTTAACCAGTAACACGTTCTACTATAAGTCTTACCCACCAAGTGAAATCGAAAGACATAAGCGGGGAGGTTCGAAGATACATTGGATAGACTATCAATATATCGAGGCTCGTCTGATCTAATCTGGCTAGCGATTGCAGGGGTTGTTGAGCACAGCGTTCCTACTCGTGATCTGGTGCGGATGCATGATCGAGCGCCTTCAGATAAGTGAGTCCATTAAAACTAATGTGGTCAGCATCCAATGTCGAAGACTTACAAAGCTATTTATTTTGAGGATTTATTTACCGCCACGGCATAAGTATACCAGCCCCATCAGTAGACACTTTCAATGGAAAGCTGGATATTCATTGGTAATAATAACACAGATCAAGCGACCTAGTTTCTTTGCTACTGAAGACTGCAATCCACCACATAGTTCTTCACAAAGCACTCCCAGAATGATGTTGGGTGTTGTAAATGCCTAACCAAATGATCACTGTTGATGCATCTGGTTATGTAAATTGTCCAACCTACTTTGTTGAAACTAAACATAGAATTTTCGATGTTTTTACTGTTTATTTGTTCATGTTTTGGGATTTTAGCAGCATCATTTTTAAAATAACGCGCAATCTACACCCCTTTCGTTAGCGCGCTGTTTACATTTTCAAACCGTGTTTTCGTGAGTTGATCGACCCTCGATTTTATAGTTATCAGTTTCTTGCTTAGACGACATACCTCTTTAAAAGACTGATGGTTATAATTCTAAAGTTATAGTGTGCTTTGTAGCCTTAATCATGAGTTTCGGCTCTCCGTACTAGAATACATGCACATATATGTGCTCAGCTATATCTCAGCCTCTTTGTAAAATGTGATCGATAAACGAACTCACCAACAGTAAAATGAAACGCTCACCACCGCACTAACTTTTCTTGGCCTTGTATGACTGTGTCTTATTTATTCATCAATCACAATTCGATGTTTATTATAAAACAATATTTGCTCAGTTAAGTCATTTTTCCTACTCTCTAGCTACTGTTCGGTACTTTATGTCTCTGTTTTTCCCTGTTTATAGACTGTACTGTTTGTTTTGTACACTAATGGTGTTAATTTACGTTTTAGAAACATAAAGTTTATCGAGCCAAATTGCTTACTTGTTCTGACTTTGGCTGAACCAAGACTCTTTATTCGACAGTCTAGGAATTAGCTTAGGGTTGAATCTGTAGGAAATTGCTTCCTACACTTTTTATAATCTTCATTACAATTTTGTTGAAACACAGTTGGGCAAGTCAGTGAATGCAGGCCATATTGTTACAAGTGTTAATGATACTAGATCTTTTCTTTTAACACGGCCCTATACGTCGTGTTGGCTGAAACATGCTAGCAAGATGTATGTAGTAAGAGACGTAACAATGTACTCACCAATCACCCTTGCTACATCATTGGCATAATCCTGATCTTAAGTTCATCGGATTTCGTGTCAAACGTTTTCCTGTATACTCAGTCTTTAGTAGTAAGGATAGGTCAATCAGTCAACATTAATCCCTGCTATTTATAGTTCTGTTGAAATGCAATCTCGCTTCTAATATATCAACAGAGGGCGGTGGTACTACGTGTTTTGGTAGAGAATTACAGTAGTCGATGACTGACATACTACACATAATATCTCAACCATCAACAACTAAAACACCGACCAATCTCACTGACCGAAAATACATCCACGCAAATACCGTTATTATTATTTGCCCCAAAATGCCCTGGTATGGTCCAGGGTGGGGAGAGTCAGCTCTCTCAAAATGCTCTCACATGGCCACTCGTATACAACCACTGCCAGAGAAGTTCTACTCACTGACTTCTTGCGGCATTACTGTCTACGAAATTGAGTGGACAAAAAGCGAATGCCCGGCGCTTTAACCGGGTTGATGGGCTCGGAGGGTCCATCGAGGGGAGTTGGAAAACCCTCATTCCAAACCAATGGTACACATGGGCTCTAGGATCCTAAGGAAACAAATGGCGTGTGAACCCATTGTTAGTCACCGGCTACCATGGGACCGCATCTCCTTACGATGCTCCACTGCCTTGTGGATCAGATCTTCAGGCCGAAGGCTCGGGGTGTGGCCCCCTAAGCAAACCACCTGCTTCGGTTTGAGCACCCGGGCAGTATCCCAGCCCTCACACATCGAATGATTTATGTGGCGCATATCCATTTGGGGCCTCCTTGTACCAACGTTTATGTGTTTAAGTTAATAACTAAGTATTGATGTGTATCAGTCCACAAGTGTTATCATAGGTTTCACAGCGGCAAAATAAATATCAATTATCCTTAAATGCTCTTTTCTAAAAGTCTACATTTTGTTTGCTTTATATTAAAGGGCCTTTTTATTCACTAAAAAATTATTCATCCCAGTTATATACAACATAGAACCTTGGATTTATATGCATCGATTCAAGTTGCTGCACCACATCAACACAGCGAGGCTTCAAAGGAGTATAAGTACTGACAGCATTATTAATATCAGTAAAGTTTAGGCGTATTAAATATTATTCAGAAAGAAAATACGGTTCCGCTGAGCAAAAATATTTTGAGATAATTAAGAAACTTAGAATCTCAGGAAGACAAAGTGAATGCACCTGAGGTATTGCGAACGATTCTGAGCCCTGTCACTCAAAGTCTCAAATAAACTGATCAGTCTAAAAAATGTTAGACCTTACTATAATCAACTCTAGTATGTCCATGATGAATCAGTCAGTCAGCAACAACGTAGAACTTTGTACGTACGTACATCAGTTCAAGGTGCCATACCGCATTAGCACAGAGACACAATTGTCGATTCAAATCCCATAGTGGTAGAGGTGGTAAAAGTATAAGCAGTAATCGAAAAGATTAGGGTTTGATGTTATTCAAGTAGTATAATTCAGTGAAATAAATTTGGAAAGAGAAAAAATGGACGAAGAACTCGGAAAACTAGAATTTAAGAGAATACGAATAGTGAATGTACCTGCGCCATTGCAAATGATTTTGAGCCATGTCATTCAAGGTCTACTCGACTCCCCCATTTATGAATAGTGTAAGCGTTGGTACAGACCAGTTCCGAAGCAACATTTGGGATTTGACGAAAGTAAAACATCTCAAGATTACAGGAACACCTTGCTAATGAGTGCCAAATAGTACGAAACCTAGGTCCATGGTTCCCTGTCGACTACCTTCAACCACTATTTCTCACCATAGCGTACATGATGTCCAGTCACCTAGACTAGTGGCCGCATTGCAACTCAGTTCAAACAATTTGATATGTACTGAGAACCTGACAGACTTAGTATTGACCACTACCCAGTGATCAATCAACTAGAAGTATGAAGAGGTAGCTTGACTTTTGTCAGTTTACACTACCATTGATTCAGGCGATATATTTGTCTACTGGTTGGCTTAACAGCTAGTTGACGGAAGGCCAAAGGTATTTGGAGCAAGATATCACACTATAAGGTCACTGACCATAGATGAACAGAAACATTTTTTGGTGTTCATGGGTTGGTATTAATCAGTATTTGATGACTAGGTCATACCTTTAATTCCGTTACAGCCGTGTACTAATTATTTTTAATTCTTTAGGTCTTGAAATTCGTAATACTCTACTTTGTCCCTCGATTTTCCTTGTTTATTTTGGATAGGTTTATTTTTATTTATCAACCATAACATGTAACTATTTTCACTCATTGGTTTTTCTCGTAGTGATCTGCTTCCGCTTCATTGAAAAATTGAAGTGATGAGAATTTATGGCAGTCTCTACTTGATTTGTCTGTTTACCAATTATAACGAAAATATTTACTTGGGACTGTATTTTAAAGTGTTGTTAGTGTTTTTTAAGACCTAATTTATCCAACTTATCTGTTTTTTCACGTTGACAGATTTGTGGTGAAATTGGATTACCTTTTGTATTCACCGGATAAAAATGGACGTAAGGTTTTATCGTTTATTATCCATTTTTGTCATGGGCTTTTTATTTATCAGGGATGTAGATTTCGTTTTGCTATAAAGCCTTGAATTGGCATTTCGCTCAGGCGATTAACTCTGTTCATTGATCTTAGCTGACACGACAACTACATGAGGATGGAAAGCATGGGTATAACTTCAACTCTAGTATAATAGTCCATCGATTTCAGTTTTCTATAAATAAATGTCTTAAGGTTTATGGATCGTTCCACTATCAAAATTTTCTTTCAGTATTCAGGGTGTTTGCGTAATATAATTTGATTTATATCAGTCCTGGGTCTCTCTATACATTATTCATGTACTACGAACGTCGTCCCAGCGAGTTCCACATCGTGGATTATTAATTCTTGTCAGAATAACGATGCATGTGAAATAAATAGGTTGGATAAAGATAAAGTCCAATTGTTTGTTAATCAACATTTGCCCTGTGGTAGCTAGTTGAATACCATCTTTTTTTATATCGGCTGTTCTTATTAGCCCATATATAAGAAAGAGAAAATAAGTTGTCGATAGCATTACATATGTTAGAAACAGGGCACAAGATCAATTTCGAAGGAACCAAAATACTTCAGAAAGGTTTTGGCACATAATGAAAGATTGACTGCAGAAGCGCTGTATATATGAGCTAATAAAAACAGCCGAAATAAAAAAGATAGTATTCAACTAGCTACCACACGGCAAATGTTCATTAACAAGTAATTGGACTTTATCTCTATCCAACCTATTTATTTTAAATGCATCGTTATTCTGACAGGAATTAATTGGGATATTGTACCACTAAAATTATGTATTTGATGGTTCTCATTTTGTATACACATCGACGTTTCAAAAAACATTTTAACTTTGCACTTTTGATTTCTACTTCCAACGAAAACAAATTAACATCTAATATCAACTATTAATAACTCAAACTTACACACAATCATTCATTTGTTTATCTTCATATTGTGAAATTTTCACATGATTCGCATGTAACTGATTCATGTTATCCTTCTTACTAAAGTCAACATCTGGATATGACCGGATAAGCACAGTAAAGTTTTGACTTGATTTTTAAACATAATATATTTCTCTGATAGTTTTGATTTCAATAGTTACCCTGAAAAAGTCCAGACAATTTTGCTGGACGAAACGTAGGAATTATTTAGACTTCAATTTCTGAGATTATTTCAAATATTTTCACATATGCTAATAATACAGACGATGTGTGATAGTGAAAGTAAATGTTGTTGGTCACTAAATATGCACAAAGAGGCACGCAAATTACTGATGATTATTTATGTGATTCCTTTTCCGCTCATTGATTCCTACTCCAAACTCACTGAGATTGCTTATAATTGTGTGTAATAAAGTATTTCTAATAGTTGAATTCATGAGTCTATCTGAGCTAGACCACCAATGACAAGCTGGAAGCACTGGACGGCTATTTCGTCCTAGTATGCGAGACAGACGGTCCTGGGCTCGAGTCATATGTAGTGTCAGTTATTATGCTAAGCCCATATACTTTATTCTAGCCTTCAGACAGCCCAATCTATTCATTCTACCTGAGTCATATTTTGACCTTGTCAATTATTCGTTTATCAGTCCTGACTGTTTTTATATGAGCGTATATGAGTGTACTTTTCATATCCCATGACTCTCACATGTCTGTAGTTTATTTTTGTCTGCCTATAAATATTGAGTAACGCCTGGCTAAAAATGAGTTGGCTTACCAGCTATCTCCACTGCGCGTCATTTTGCTTTGTTCTATTGCCTTCACTTTATGTACAAAATATGTGTATTCAAAGGCCATTCTCGTTAATTGACTTATCTAAATTCCGTTATTGACTGACGTGATTTAAGTCGATGATTGTATACGAGGATAGGTGATAACAAACATACGATCTACACGGAGTCAGATCCACGGGCCACTAAATTGGTGAGCCCGACGTGATAAATGATGCAGCACGCGGTTATGCATGTGGAAGAATAGATGAGACGTAATAGTTTCGAATCAGCTAATTAGAGGCATCCACAGACATAATAGGAGGCGATTTCGAAATGAAAAATGTATGTTGTGATAACATAACATAATGACCTCGACTAAGTGAATGAATGTAATATTAGGTCAAAATGACATGAAAAATTGGAACGAACTCACTTAAAGCAGGAAAATTTTACGTTTTTGAATAACGAAAATATAGTCCAATGAGTTTCGAATGACATAACGTGGAGTGTTCATAAAATGATAATTTGTTCGGTGAGTGATATGATTGCGAAAATGTCATAATTTAATGACAGCACGAACAAGATTAATAATTCCACATTCGGTCATGATATTGATAATAATGTAATAGTAAGCATATAATGATAATTTGAATCGTAATGGAACAATCCGATAAATGGGTCAATGAGAATAATCTCCACAACCCCTATACTAGTAATCAATGAGAATAGTTGACATGAGGACAAAGTATCGATAAGATAATACGACTTGAGCATGTCCATACCATGATGCACAGGTTTTGGTGATTGCGTCGGATTGAAGATTGCGCTGGCTTCGCTGAATTTGTTCGTCGAAAGTACTGAGTGCAAAAGTTCCTTCATCGACGTAGCTTGCTGCGTTGCGTTCGTCGGCGGCGGGCTTACCAATTTAGTGGCCCGTGGATCTGACTCCGTGTAGATCGTATGTTTGTTATCACCTATCCTCGTATACAATCATCGACTTAAATCACGTCAGTCAATAACGGAATTTAGATAAGTCAATTAACGAGAATGGCCTTTGAATACACATATTTTGTACATAAAGTGAAGGCAATAGAACAAAGCAAAATGACGCGCAGTGGAGATAGCTGGTAAGCCAACTCATTTTTAGCCAGGCGTTACTCAATATTTATAGGCAGACAAAAATAAACTACAGACATGTGAGAGTCATGGGATATGAAAAGTACACTCATATACGCTCATATAAAAACAGTCAGGACTGATAAACGAATAATTGACAAGGTCAAAATATGACTCAGGTAGAATGAATAGATTGGGCTGTCTGAAGGCTAGAATAAAGTATATGGGCTTAACATAATAACTGACACTACACACACATGCTGGATCGTGAACGTGCACTGCTTTAGGGTTTTCATCACGAACTCATATTAGTTAAAATAGCAAAACGCCATTTAGCCGAATGGATGAATGGATTTCATGCCAAAACCCAGGACCTAATGTCCTAGATCTGATTGGTGCGTTCATAAATTATGGTCTCGCTGGCTTTCGTTGACATTACGCATCAACATAAGTTGTACAATCCCTAAAAACCTTAGTCCACTGTACAACTGTTCCTTTCTAGTATGGAACTCGTCATCAGTGATCATCCACGACGTCATCACAGGGGACCTAAACCAAGATCATTAGCTTTGTGTGCTAGTTCTTAACCTCTAAACCACTGACCCTGGGTCCAATAGTATATAAATAATACAGTGGGTCAATCAAAAATCTCCGAATGAGAAGACCACTTTGAGCCAATCAAGAATTTCACAATTGACAAATGCATGTTATTGGACGACAAATGATTTCGTTTTCTAAGGAATAGATACATAAATGAGTGCTTATGCATAGGATTCGGTTTAGCCCAATAAACTTCCCTCCCCACTCATATTCTTATTTAGTCTCCGGTCGGAGCTTGGATATGGGAAGTCTGTGTGTCTGTATCAGATTCGGACACCACGCATCATAACAATAAGTCTAACTTCAATCTTTTGCTAGTGTTAGTTTGTGTATCACGGTTTTCAATATGCCGTAGATTTTATACAGTCTTAAATTAAAAGTTTTCAGTTATTAGTTTTTAAATACCCCTGTTTTCGAATCGATATCACTTCATCTCCGTTGTGTTGAGTGTTTTCGTTTTTCACAATACGCAAAGTTAAATTGTTTTTATACATTTTACAGAATCTTTTACAGGAAAATCACAGTCTATTAAAGAAATTAGAATTGAAAAAAGAAATGGAAGCAGCTTATCTCGATGAAATCGAACAACTTAGATCAGTAATTACTCGATTACAACAAGAAAAGACGTCGATTTCAACTCCACGTGTTGATGACAATTCGTTATTGTTGTATAACTTAGAAGGTCGTGTTGAAAAATCTGAAGAAAAAGTTGCGCTACTTACCAAGGAGCTTGATTTAGCCAAAAAACGTGAAGCTGATCTACTGGAACAGTTAAATAGTTTTGTAAATAAAGTGGATAGTATTTCTGAAGTAAGTTTACGTTGATCTTGTTCTTTCTCACGTGATGAACTACTGTTGTTAACCACTATTCTTATTCTTATAGTTAAGTTTCTTAAGATTCCCGCCTGTCGTGGGGCGACTAATTGAACCATCTTAAGGTTAGACGCAGGATACTGAGTAAAGATGGAAAATCGGATGATGAAACAGTGAATTTCTTATTGACTGAGGCGGTTAGGTCATGTATGACATATTTCTGACCATCGCCTACCTGGCTAACGTAAGTATAAGTTGAAAGGAAAATGTGGGTAGCCAATTCAAGACATGGGATTAGTCCATGAAGCTATTAGCAATTGAACTGAGTTGTGTTGGTTGGTCCAGACTACCTAGTTATGGTCGTCTACTCAATAACCACGATCAATAGTCTTTGGGTAATATGTCTAACAATTGATCACAAACCTACAAATGAATTCATTCGTTATCTTATTCTAGATTATGAGTTTCATTTTTCCATCATACACACCTTTTAATTCTATATTCTTGAATTACATTCTCAATGTTCATTATTCCACGTAATGATTGTTATTACATTATTTCAATTCGTTTACTATTCATTGCCATTTCTCATCTCGTCGTATTCTTGTGGTCCGGCAGCGTGGCACAACGCAAATTTATCCTAAACTCCATGTTGATTATAACTGACTGCTGGCTAATTAAATTTGTATTTGACAGCTTATATCTGTGTACTCGAATACCTATGTAACTATTGTTTGATTAAATTCCTGATAGTATTGATTCTGTTTATTCGTCATGCGTTTCTCGTTTTGCTGCTTTTCATTCTGTTAATATAAAGTGTGGCAACTTAAACTAATGTATCATTTTTGTCGCGGCCCTCACTTTGTTTATATTTGTCTAATACCATAATAATCCCGTATATTGTATACGAATAGCTGCTTAGAATCAAGTCAGTAGGTTTTTTCTCCTGTCAGTTTGATATTTAGATTACTTCATCATTCTTAGGTACTTATGATTAGATATTTTCCCATAAATGAAAAGAATATATCGAGTTTCCCGTTAACCAGTAGTAATTTGTCTGGTTTATTCACACTTACATACAGAATTGATGAAGCATGAAGGTTTTAAGTGGTTTGATTAGCGTTCTGATATCTGAAATTTGTTAATAATTGTGGAATTTTTTGTATTATACTGTGATATGCTTAATGTTTACAGTTATTCTTTTGCAATTCATAATGTATTTACATGCCATGTTTAATAATATCGTTATTGTAAATTGTTTATTCGCATTACACTTTTAAAGTACCCTATTTTTACCTTGTAGTCAATATAGAATGAGATTTTAAGGAATATGACATTTTCTTTTTCAGTGTTCTATAACTGTTCCTGAACCACATAATTCTTTGGTGGAGGAAATCAATCGGTTGAAAGAGGAACTATCTAGCAAAGAAACTTCTAATCGTCTTGAACAATCAAAATTAACTCGTCAAATCCAAGAATCAGAGGACGATCGTCAAAATTTACAGGATTATATAATTGAATTAGATCGTCAGTTAAAAGTGAGTATGAATATGTACAAATTAATTGTATGATATTTATTTTGCGATTTAGTTGTACTACACAAAGCGTTACGTTAAGATGTGTCATTCGTATGCCCAACCGCCTCTTACCTTAACTTATGATATTTACTTATTTAGGAGTGGGTTGTAAGGATCTTAGAGATGAGAGAACCACGTTATGGGGTCAGTCCATGAAGTTGCTGATTATCGAATTAAACCGTCCTGGCATATACAAACTATCGGATTGGTGTCCGCGCGACTGTTGTAGCTAATGGTTGGGGACGATGGGTAATGTGTCCCAGAATCGATTGCGCTGGCTTAGATGCAACATTGTGCTACATTTTTTTTATTTCACAAACTCGTTCTTCTCGAACCTCATTGCTTATACCTGATATTCTCTACTAATACTACTACTACTGCTACCACTTCTGCTACTCTGGGATATATCTTGACAGTTTTATCTCGCTGCACTGATGCGATGAGGCAACATGAGCACGGGCTCGTATATGTACCAGGTTTTATGTTGCTTATGACATACAAAGCGTTCATGCCAAACATGGAAACTATGCACTACAATGTGCTAACTATTTCGAACTTATTAATTTCTGAAAATAGCATTTGTAGAAGTGAGTTAACCTGCAAGTTTTATTTTTCTAAGAACAAACTTCTAATCTTTGTCAAGATATCACAGAAGCATTGAGTCTTGTTTTGCCATACGACTCTGAGATTTTGTTTTTGTCATTTGATATATATTTTGGAAATTATGGTTTTAAGTATCCATAAAACGTGATAAATTAACTCTATGCTATACCAAATTCTACTTAGTTGTTTTAGAGTTGTTAAGGTAATTAGAAAATGAACATCTAAATAATTTATTGAGAAATAATTAAAATACTCCTGGATTTTATTTATCATAGATTAGATAATATCTGGTTCTCATTTTCAAATCGAATTTCAATGGTTACATTCTACTAATTTTAGCCTCAATGAATATTAATTCATACTATTTTATGCTTATTTCTTAATTAGGATTGTCGATTAGAATTAAATGATACTCAAGCTCAACTGGAAGCATTACAAATTCAATCAAATTCTACAGAAAGCACACGAGGGAATTCAGTATTTTCTGAAGTTAGTTTGTGTAAAATACTATTTTTAGTCATATCAACTATTGTTTCCATCATTTATTTATTTATACACATAAACATTGGCACAAGGAGACACTAAGTATATATGCTCAACAATTCGTCACTCGATTTGTGTTAGGGTTGGAGTACTGCCCGGACGCCCAAACCAAAGCAGGTGGTTTTCTTAAGGGGATTAGAGGTTTTCCAACTCCCCTAGGTGGATCCTCTGTACCCACCAACCCAGACATTCTCCTTCCGTCCTCTCAATTTTGTAAACAACAGTAATGCCGTGAGAAGGCAGTGAGTAGGACTTTCCTGGCAGTGGCCCTATACGCGTGGCCGTACGAAAGAAAGCATTTCAAGAGGGATAGGCGACTCTCCCTACCCTCAGATGTACCAGGTCATTTAGGGGAATTTCCATCACATACATATGTATAGGGGTACACATAACTGCTTCTTGAGCATTTGGTTTCTTAATTTTTGACTATGTTATTACATCATGCACTGAATAGTTTAGTCAAAGTGTTATCTAATAAATATATACAAGTAACTATTTCTGCACAATTTTAAAAAGACCTTATATACCAAAAAGTAGCTTTTAAAAAGACACTTATCGATTATGGTTTCTGTCGGCTAATCTAGAATTAGTGAATTTGTTTTTTGTTGAAAAATAAAGCAAAACGAAGTCTCTTAGTAGTTGAAATTTACTGACAACGCAGCATGATGTTGGCAGTTTCGTGTGCATATTCCTTAAGTTTCAATATTTGATTACAAAAAGTAATATATTTCATTTGTAAATAGGTCAAGTACTTGCACTACTCGTAAATGATTAAACAAAAGATTATGTTGTATACTTCGGTAAATTTTAGATTGAAGATCGACGTATTCGTGCTGAACAAATTGTTATTAAACAAGGAGAACAAATTAATGAATTAAAATTACGTTTACGTCAAACAGAAACTGATGCTAAGCGTAAATTAGTAAGTTAGAAAAGTACGTTAAATTAAAATAGCTTATTTTTCACTAAAATGTCACTTTCTAGATTATTCTAGTTATGGACTACACCAATTTTACTAAGAGGGTACACTTTTTATACTTGATATTCATCATATCATACTTAAAAAGATACTTAAAAAAATATTTTTACAACTTTGTCTAATTTTGTATTTATTTATGAAAAGAGTGTATTTCACGGAAGAGCTGGATGCAATTGGAAGCATTGTTTGGAAATAATTATAATGTTGCGTATAGAGCTTGAATTGTTTGCTTTTTAAGCATCACATCTCACGAGCTTCAGATATTATCAATATATGCTAAGTAAAATTTTCCTTTAAGATCTGCGTTAAGATTTCATCAGATGTTTGATCCATCGATTGTTCTAACAGTATAAAGTGTTAATTATTACCATTTTTGGTAGAGCACAATCGGCAAAAGAATTATCCTGATACAATCTTGCAAATCCAATTTCAACGTACCTTCATAATAAATAAAAATAATATATTTGTAATATCCCAATGAGTAGAAAATTAGATTTTCTGACATTTCGTGATTTAGTGTAAGTCACTTCTTCAGAGAATAAAAAAATGTTCAAACTATCGTTGTATTAAGTAGGGTCTGTTTCCATAAATATTACGAATTTGACGAAAGAACTGTGTATCTTAGTTCAACTGAATTATTCACAGGTTACAGCAATTGACGATTCGGATCTCAACCAATATGAATTATTTCCTACCACTGTGTATCAACAGTTAAGCAAAAGATGGGAGAGGAATAAAAACACTAGTTGTAAATGATTGATCGTACGATATTTCTACTTGTAAAGTTATACCATTAGTCTTTTCAATGCTAAACCTCTTTAGCTTCTCTATGTATTTAGTCATAGCAATTTCTTTTGAAGTGTCCTGAAATCTGATGAGAAAAGGGCACAGTTAACTATCTCCGAGCATGAACTACGGGTTAGTCGGCATTTGTTTTTATATTTTCTTTTCTTTAATATAACCTTGGAGTTGGTGCTGCTAAGTGAATTCAAACTTTGTCAACCATGAATCAGAATTGAAGACAGTAATGAATAAGCCTCCATTTTCGTTTTTACTTTCCTTCCTTAACATCTCAAGGAAATGCATTATTTTGTTATTCTGTCTGACGAATTTCTCGGTTCTTATGTTGTATTAAGTTTACGGTTGTACAAGAGTTTAATTCCATACTCAATTTCGACATCTTATCATGTTATGCAACCCTTCTACACAATTTTTAATCTTCATCTACCATCTTGGTGAATATTCAAGATCTTAACAACTACATCTTCAGTTTCTTAATAATAAATAACACTTTTGTACTTTCATTTTATCCTACCTTACTCTTACTAATACTTAGCAAATCATTATCAAACATATAATTGACAGCTGGTCGACTACCAAGTAATGACTAATATCATATATGTCAAGTCTTTCTTAGTGTTTTATCAATAAAGTTGCAATGTAGCCAGTAATCCAAATGGCTCGATATCGCTTGCACTATGTTGAGTGATTGTTGGATCAGTATAATTCAATCAACATTAAGAAGGACTTGACATACATGACATAGTTGGCAACTACTCAGTGATTAATCAGTTGTGTATGCATCTCAGCCCTACAAGAGGTCAGTTGTGACCCAAATAGCTCTGTAGTATCATCTGTGACTGTGAAGCTGGGTAATATGGGATCGAATCCGCCAGGACACATCAGTTTCCTCAAGATTACTGGTGCACCATACCAAACATCACGATTCTTAGATCACTCATGATCTTTTGTCAACTACCTCCAACCGTCACCTTAAACATATTATTAATTGTTATTTCGAAATATACATATATTCGCGATTGTATAACTTGTGAAATAAATTTACTGAAAAGAGAAATATTCACTGGACCAATCTTTCCTGTTTTTTGTGTCTTCTTGGGTATATATTCCTTTTACCTAATACATAAGATGTTCAAGGGGAAATAACTCGAAATCTAAATACATGTTTAGTCGAGACTATGATTTATGGACGAACTAATCAGATTTAGGATATCAGGTCTTGGATTTTGGCGTGAAATTCATTCGGCTAAATAGCGTTTTACTATTTTAGCTAATATCAGTTCGTGATGAAAAACCTAAATCTAATTCCTAACCCTAACCACCAACTGTAAATCATGATTCTAATTCCTAACACTGGTTTATAACTCTCACTTAGTCATAGTAGGTGAACATTCTCAAGGCCACTTTAGCGTCGCTCAAAGGTCGTCCATAAATTATAGTTTCACCGCACGTTTATATTGTGAGAAGTATTTGTTTCATTCTATATGTTAGCTAGACGATAGTTGTTGTGACTTTTAATCAATTATCACGTGACATTCGCCAATCGGAATACGACCTATACAATCTTAACACTATGCCAAACCAATAACGTATCGACCGGTTTGAGAGGCCTAGAGTCCTTATTGGTTCTCTTCCCTCTTAGCATTGCCAGTTCAGTCCGGAATACCAATATCAGCTTCCACTATAAGAATAATTTGTTTCAAAATACCTGGTTCATATACAAGCCAAGCAGACCACATCACACCATAAAATAGGAAATAACATTTGTACAAGACCAGACCAAAGAGTGTCAGTGATTGTGGGAGTCTAATTAAGTAGACTGGGCATAACTTAAGAATAGTAAATCATATAATAATAGTCTATAGGTCAAAATAAAGCTTATAATAAGAGTAATATGAATATACATAATCTAGCTACTGAATAATTATACAATAAGAATGTATGTATAGTATTAGTCCATTAATAGTTCTCAGAAGTTACCGGTAATCTAATCTTCACCAGGGTATAACAATAGTCACTCATAGTTAAGTGATCTACTGCCTTTATATATGAAAAAAATTGTTGCGTTGATGATCCGACTCGGTTAAGGATATATTTTGTGTTATATTTAAATAAGTCTTGCCTAATACGATCTCACTTTGCCTGTCAGTTGTGCTATCTTAACAAGATTAATGTTTACTGCTGATTGTATTTCTCTCGGTGTTCACATTTGTTGAATCACCTAAACTATTCTATATATACTTCTGTACTATGTTTTATACAGACAGAATCAGTTCAGAAATTAGAAACTAGATATCGTGATCGAGATACGAATTTTATTGATGAGTTAGTCGCTGAACGTGAACGTTTAGTTAATGAGAACACAAAATTGAGTTATCAAGTACAACATTTAGAGGAACTACAAGTATGTTTGAAATGTGATTTGGTTGTTTTTGTTTATCAAATAATTTCCACATGGTATATAACTTCCTGCTAAAAAATAGTAAATGCTTTTAATGTAAATTACAAGGATTTAAATCATTCCGTTGTCCATACTCTTAGCTGAATTCTTACCAATGCATTCTATGTGGATTGTCTCAATACACCCATATTGTCACAATTTTTTGCCGAATAGATGGTCTGTGACTAGCAGTGAAATGGAGGACGCGATTTTTGTCCTATTCGGGGCTCGATAGTTGAATGTACATATGTATCCTTGTGTTGATATTCACTCCGGGGCTTGAACTTAGTGCCTTTCGCTTTAGGTAACCAACGCGTTACCCACTGAGCTACTAAGTCCGAATACCCAATGGCCTGTGCAATAGTTATGAATTTAATTTAATTTGTAGGGTTTAAATCAACACTAGGATATAGGTACATCCATCTGACGAGTCCCAAATGAAACGAAACACTTCCTGAATTCCACTTCTCGCCATAGTTTATTTGTTCCATAAAAATTGGAATGCTTCTGTTTGTCAGTATAGGGGTTGTGGAGATTATTAAGTTTTTGATTGAGATCATGAGAAGCCGTGACCAATGGAGTTAATCCGTGTCGGGTAGAGACAGGTATCTACCTCAGTACAATGCAAGATGGTCGCGCAATTTCGTGGATTGGTTAGTGTTAGACACTAACACCATTGGATGCCGGCTCAGTGGTCCAGTAGGTTAAGCGTTCGCGCGCGAGACTGAAGGCCTTGGGTTCGAGTCCCGCGGGTGGGATCGTGGATGCGCACTGCTGAGAAGTCCCGCAATAGGACGAAACGGCCGTCCAGTGTTTCCAGATTTCCAACGGTGATCTAACATTAATCGGTTCATGATCTCAATCAAAAAGCTTCTGTTTGTAGTTTTTGTTTATCTAAGAATTAATGATTACTAGTTAGACCTCAATTTTCTTTGTATTTTCACCAGTAAATAGGTTAACTATCATTCCTCGAGTTATATTTACCCATACATGCGTAGCCGCAGTAATCGTTTTACCTTCATACGAAATGTATTACGACAAGTGACTATTAGGTGATAGATTATCATCAATTTCAGCTTTAACAGATGAATAGTTGTATAATCAGCGCATATGAGTGTAACTCACAGGTTATCGCATAGAATTACTATATACTACTCAACTACACTCTATTTTATTGTTTATTTCTACTGAGGAAACTTAATAATATCTGCATAAAACTTTCGTTTCATCTGTACAGATGCCATTTAAAAAAAAAATTTAACCCGTTTTGTTCATATGCATGAAACAGTATTGTTTGACTAGAAATTCTTCATAATAATTAGTTATAAACATTTGCTTTTTTTGCCTTCCTTAACGGTACCATATTTATCTTGTCAATATTTTTTATTTAACCTCATTATATTTCCTGTTAAATAGCTAATGACTTCATGATTTTATGTAAATCAAATTATTTATTGTTCTTGAATGAATAAACAATATGTCATAATGTCTAGCTAGTTTAAACTTCTCTTTTGAAAAACTTATTTCTTAAAAAGATATTTAGTATTATTACCATGTTGATTCTCTATCTATGTTTTCTCTTTATGATTTAATTTAAAGTTGGATCAGGAGCGTGGAGCTTTAAAAATATCAAAGGCATTTAATTTAGAAGGTAACTCACAAGAAGGTGTTATATCGAATTTAGAGTAAGTTTTATTTGTTTAAATTCTAATTATATATATATATATATATATATATATATATATATATATATATATATATATATATATATATATATATATATATATATATATATATATATATATATATATATATAATATTTTACTGTCATTCGAGTCTGCGACTAATATTATAGGCTTTCTATACGCGTGTCCAAGCGAAGAGTGAGTAGGAAGAGGATAGGTTACGTATCAGTAATCTTGTAACGTATCTGCTTCTCATGGTTCAATACATAGTGCTTTTCCGTTTATGTGGTTAGTGAATGCTGTATAGAAGAACATAATTTTCACCGAGGGTTTCATTTCAAGCTTTTACTTTCACTTTTTCCGCTCTTTATGTCTAAGAGGTTGGTGTGCGCTACACTATCTTGTTCTCAGAAGATATATGATGGTAGCTTTCAATGATTAGAATGAAATCCCATTGAAAATCATACTATTATATGCAGCACTCGCAGTAAGTGAAAGGATAGATGCTCGCAAATGATAGATATCACACTCATTGAAGATTGAAGAAGGGTGATTATCTCCACCTGTAAGAAGCTTTTATTGATTAGTCGAATCAATACATTGACAATCATACAACTATTTCCCTCAAGAAATCAGGCCACATTTTCAGCTAATAGCCTATGTCTACTTCTTCAGAAGGTGAAGCCGTATTTTGATCGATAGTGTGTGCTTGTTAGCACCTCTCACTCATCATTTGACGTATGTCTAATGGACCCAGGGTATCACCATTTTTCTTGAAGAGGATGTTTTCCCATTGGATTAAGGTCTGAATCACGAGTCATGAAATTATTAGAAAAACGTTGTTACAAACTGTGTAACTTCATGTTTGTAGGAAATGGATATCATCTTGATTGCTGAGTTAGTTATTTTTGGTAGATTTTTGTGGCCCTATATCCGACTCCAGTTAAATCGTATGTTGATTGCTTGTCAAATTATACATGTCGCCAACCCTCTTATATAATTTATCTCCTTAATTCACGTTAAAAAAATAACGGAATACAATAAGCTAAATACGAGAATAGATTTTGAATACGTATATTTCATAAACTTTTTGGCTCAGACAGAAAATCAGAGAAACGAGGCTACTCACAGTGAAGGATGTAAGTGGGCCAACTCGTTCTGATCAGGCGTGACTCAATATTTATATACAGACAAAAACAAGTTACAGATACGTGATGAATAGGGCAAGCAATTAACATAAATACCATCATATGAAAACAATCTCAGTTAGTAAGTGAATAAGTGGCAAGGTCAAAATATGGCTTGAGAAGAATGAATAAATCGGTCTGTCCAGAAACTAGAATAACCTATGTGGGTTTGACAGTACTAGCCACTACAAGCTATTAGCAATATATACTTTAAGAAATATATCTAATTGGGCGGGGCCCAGGAATACGAGCCAGGAATTGCTTTTTGTTTTATTTGCGACTTATTAGTTGGACGTATCTGCATCCCAATGTTAATGTTCATACTCAAACTTAAACTCATTATCGTCCGTTGCAACTCCTTTTTGACTAAGCTACTAAGTACAAATAGTCGCTAATTTATTTAACGAGAATGAGTTCATTTAACAGTGATTATCATTTGATCTCTCTCGATTTGTTTATTTACATCCTGAGCGGAGTGCTTCAATATTACCATTTAGTCACAACTTTTGATACATTTGAAGTTCATTTAGCAGTGGAATCCAAGACATGCGTTTTGTCCTAGTTAGGAATCGTCAACTAGTTGTACCTGGGTTCAATTTGCACACTAAGTCTGAATTGTTTCAGTGGCATCTATTTTATTGTAAAATTTGATCAAGGTTCATGGAATAATATCCAAGTAGTAATAAGAATAATATTTTAATCTCCGGTTCATTTGTACTGACACAAGAAAGCACAAATTAATTCATCGTTTCATGCTTTTTTATTTCGAAGGTATCAACAGTCACGTCAAATTTATTCCCGAATTAAACTTTTCTGCAATATAGCAAAATTTATTTATTTCAACACGTAAATATTGGTACAAGAGGGCACCAAATATATATGCGCCACACCATATTTGTGTGTGTGTGGGCTGTGATATTGCCCGGGTGCCCAGACCGAAGCAGGTGGTTTTCTTAGGGGGCCACACCCTGAGCCTTCAATCAACAATAAGCGTCTTACTTTGCATGGAATATTCAGATATGTTAAAAAGATTGAATAAAATAATATTAATCAGTAAATAATGAGTTTGACTTATAAATAAACATCAATTTTTTAAACGTTGTACACACTCCCAGGAATTTTTACCACTGACTACTACCATTAATAAATATATATTTTTTTAAAATTTCCCAGTTAATATATATATTCACATTTAATTTTCAGTAATTCATTTCTTATATACATTCAAAAATGTTATATTTTATTTTTCTGTGCTTTAACTTTTTTAGGCGTCGAATTAAACAATATAAACGTGCTCAAGAACAATCAACTGAAATAATTAGTGGACTCCGTCAACGTTTACTTGATTCTGGTCAGATTAGACGTAAATTACAAAATGAATTATGGCGTAGTATTGATGAAAATACTTCTTTGTCTGAACAGATTAGTGAACTTCGTAAACAACTTAGTGATCTACGTAGTGGAAAAGTTTCTGATAACTTAAAAGCAAATAATGTGGAACTGAAAATCAAACAGTCTAGTCCATCACTTACGGGTTTGTTGTATATACTTACTATCTATATTTCTGTTGTTTAAATTCATTCGATGTAATTGCTTAGAGGTATTGTCATGTCTTGAAACTAATCAATATTGCACGCTGAAGCCACTAACCAGAATTCTGATCTTAATTTGATCTATTCTGTGCCTATTATTTCTTCTGTAGTTCCAGTGTCCCAGACCTGACGGATTACACTTCTGACCTACACATTTAACCTTTAGCCGATGCTAACTGAGCTCATATTGATCCGGTGCCCATAAATCTGTCTCCATTTCTTTCCTCGAATCTCAAGAAAAGTCAGCAGGCAGCCTCTACTACTATTATTATTTTTCAAACACACATGATTTTATTCACAGATACATTGGATCACATGGCACCATAAAATGAAAAATCACAATTGCACATAAATAAGCCAGCGGCTATGAAAAGTCGATTTGTAATAGAATAGGAATGATATGCAGTATAGTAATAGTTGGTGGGTTTAACGGAAGCCTATGAAAAATGAAATGTAATAAACACAGTAATCCAGATACTTGGTTGTCATACAATAAGAATGTACATAATATTCATAAAAATAATAATAGTAAATTCGATCACCAGTACAAAAATCCCAACTTTTATATTATTTATTCCACTGTAGCACGTATTTCTTAAAATACATTTAAACTGTTTGTATATTGTCTTATTTAAACGTTTTGTTGAACAGTTCATTGGTTTCACATCTTGACTGTTGTTTTTCTCAAAATAAACTTTTCCAGTACCAACTAGAATGAAGTAGATAATATATACATTACATTTCACTGGTTACACATTGTAATTAATTTACCATCACTTCCGCTTCTTTCTGATAACTATGATCAGTCTTAGAGTATCTTAAATAAAGATTATCGACAAATCCACTATTTTAGTGTGTACTTAAGGTAGAAAACATGCATTGTAATATTTTGGTTCTGTCACATATAACTGTTCAGTCAAGAATGTTTACTGATAGAGAAATAATAAAAACTGTAGTACTCATAGAGGAGCATAGACGATGACCGAGCTTCTCTATCAAACATTGTCCTCGCTTGTCCTTTCCGGTTGTTTCCGATTCCTATTCACTCTTTCGATGTATGCCTCCAATACCCGGGCATAGTGTGTTATTTGGTCTTCCTCTGTTTCTTTTCCATTCACAATTCCAAACTAGGGTTTGCCTCTTGATACAGTTTAGTGATTTCTGCAGTGTATGTCCTATCCACCTCGCGCGTTTCTTCCTAACTTCCTCTCCAGCTGGAAGCTGGTTTGTTCTCTCACACAGTAGGCTGTTGCTGGTGGTATCTGGTCAGTGGATCTAGAGTATCTTGCGTTGACAATTGTTTGTAAATACCTGTACTTTTTTGATGTTTGAAGTAGATTTCCAAGTTTCAGCTCTGTACAGTGGAACATGACGTTTTTTTCGAAGATCCTAACTTTGGTACTGACTAACAGTTGATTTGAGTTTCATATGTTCTTCAGTCAACTTATTCAATAAACGGTAGGTAGTAGTATCGCTTAATGTGGTTTAGTCTTTTTTGTGTGTACTCTTTCACCATTAACAATCAACTTTTTGTCAAGTATTTGCATAAAATAGGTTTGCATTGTTGCGAAATCATTAAACTGATTTTGGCCTCTTGAAATTTACGTAGGATTCTGTTTTAATTTATAAAACAGATAGAATGCATTTGTTTTCTTTCCTTGTGAAACCACAGCTCGGTAATTCAGTTGATTGGAATTCTTACTTTTTTTGGTGGACGTTTCATCTTCTGTCTCTACTTTTTCGGTTTTAACTGATTATTAGTTCCAGTTATTGTTGTAGAAGAAATATTTTTGATGATAGTTTAATCCTAACAAACTTTATTTTATCTTGATTTTGTATCTTCTTCATTCATTACAGTTTTACACAGTACTCATTTTTTACTGCTATCAAGAATACTTTTCCCTTATTGGTTCGTCGCTCTTTTTTTCCTGTTTTTTTTAACGAATAATTTATACTGTAGTGTCTGATTTAGTTAAATAATCTTTGGTTTTTTCAATGAATCTTACTGCTTGACATTTTGACTATTGGATTTGCCAATATATCTGTCACTATGAATAGATACAACATTGTTCATGTTCCTTGTTCAAAGAGAGGTTAAAGCTTAGAATAGTTGTCTTATTATGTATCAACAATAACATGACGTCTAAATGAGTACTTCGTTAATGAGTTTCAGTAGCCCTTCAACAATCTAATCTCTGGACTTTTTCCACTACTAACTAACTCTGTTCTCTATAGAACACAAACTTTAGTGTTATTACAGTAGCTAATGTTTCTGTTTTTCTACGGTACATTAGACTTCCAATTTTAGTATATTATGACTAAACACCCTTATAATGAGTTCTTATTGGGTTCTTTGTACTGTCGGTAGATTTAAACGAGATGTTCTCGTGTATTGTTAGAGTTCTGAACACAGTTGTCAATACTCCCCAGTTGACTACACCAATAAATTATCTTTCCTTTTAGAGGACCTGAAAAAGAAACTGTGTTAGTGGTAGTCTTAGAATCCTGGGAGAATAACTGTAATCTAAGGGGCAAATATTTAGGCGGGGGGATCACACCCAACCTTTTTATGACAAGTTTTTGAAATGTTAGCTTCATACTTCAAACGAAATTACCACCGGGGATGAAAATCCATAAAGTTGAAGTAAAATATATCATTTTTAGAGTCAACATTTTTTAACATCTGTTGTGATTAGGGAGCATTGTTGATGCTGGTTATCTGATAGAAACATTTTACTCCTTTCACAATCCTGTACGACTTTGTTCTCATACTTTGAGTTAATGCTTTTATTCTTATCGTTGGGGATGCGATTCTCCCCCCTCGAAATGCAAAATGTTGTTTCAGGATTGGGTTGCATCGACACCCGAACTAATGATAGAGAGTGAAGTAGTTGAGCTAGTCGACCGCTTCACTTATCTTGGGAGTCTCATCAGCCCTTGTGGTCTGGTGTGTGACGAAATCTCAACACGGATACAGAAGGCTCGACTAGCTTTTGCCAACTTGCGTCATTTATGGCGTAGGCGAGATATCCATCTATCAACCAAAGGACGGGTTTACTGCGCAGCAGTTCGTCCCGTCCTACTTTATGGCAGTAAAACATGGCCGGTAAGAGTAGAGGATATTCGTAGGTTACTAGTATTTGATCATAGGTGTCTTCGAAATATTGCTCGTATATCCTGTGACCATCGAGCAAGTAATGCAGTTGTTAGGAAACGGGTACTAGGTAAGGATGGCAAATCAACTGATGACGTAGTGAAACTTCATTAGTTGAGATGGCTGGGACATGTGCTACGTATGCCCAACCACCGACTGCCTCGATGTGCGATGTTTTGTTGTATAGGAGTAGATTGGAAGAAAGCTAGGGGGCGGCCGGACCAAAACATGGCTTAAGTCCATGAAGTCACTGACAAGTGAACTGAGTCATGTAGGTAGGTGTAGACTACCTGGTTGGGGACCGCGAGATGATAGCAACCGATGGTTAGAGACCCTGAATGACATGGCTCAAAATCGTTTACAATGGCGCAGGTGCATACACTCTTTGTGTTCTCCCAAATTCTAATCTTCTGAATTCTCCTTTTTTATCTCCTTCCAAGTTTATTTCACTGGATTATACTCTTTAAATAACATCTCCAAACTCTACTCTTCCCTATCACTGCTTATACTCTTGCTACCTCTACCACTACGGGATTTGAATCGACAACTGCATCTCTGTGCTAATGTGGTGTGCCAACTCGAACTGATGTACGTACGTACGAAGTTCTACGTTGTTACTGACTGACTGACATTTTTGCTGACACCAATCATCAAAATTATCACAAATCGACCAGCATTTTATTCTGACTGACTATCGTTTCTCGAATGATCTGTTTAGCACGACAGAACTTAAAAAAACAACTACAACAATTGTTCCATTCAATATAACTTGACTGAATCATTACAATATGTAAACCTGACAACCATGTTAGTGTATGTATATATATATATATAACTGTGAAATGTTTCCCGAATAAAATCATTTCTCATCTTTTCTTCTTAATCATTATTCAATTTATTAATTTTTCACTTCCAAGATACATTCATTTGTGTCAATTAAAAAAATGTTCATTATTTAAATTATAGATCTGTTTTTTACTGATTCTTTTCTATTCTATATTGTTTTGTTCTATAGTGAAAAAGAATTAATATGATAAAATATTTAAAAGTATGACTGTTATAAATATACATACACCCATTTGTGTTTAGAGACTAAATTTACTTACGCCTGTTACTCCTCGTGAAGCAGCATAGGCCGCTCACCAGCATTCTCCATCCAACCCTATCCTCGCCAATCCTTTTCATATCTGCTTCTTTTTCTTGACGTAATGTGTTATTTAGCCTTCCTCTTTTCCATTTCCTTTCACGATTCCAAGTTAGGGCTTGCCTCGTGATGCAGTTTCATCATTTGTGTAATGTATGTCCTATCCATTTCCATCCGAATTTCCTCTTCAACTGGAAGCTGTTTTTTTCTCTCCCACAGAAGGCTGTTGCTGATGGTATCCGGCCAATGGATGTTGAGTATCTTGCGCAGACAACTATTTATAAATACTTGTACCTTCTTGATGATGGTTGTAGTAGTTCGCCAAGTTTCAGCTCCATACAGTAGAATTGACTGTGTTCACGTTCGTATTGAAGATTGTGACTTTGATATTGGTTGACAGACAGTTGTTTTGAGTCCCATATGTTCTTCAATTGTAGGAATGCGGCCCTTACTTTACCAATCCTCGCCTTTACGTCTGCATCTGAACCTCCTTGTTCATCGATGATGCTTCCCAGGTATGTGAAGGATTTTCCATCATCCAGAGTTTCGCCATCAAATGTGACTGGATTGCTGTTCTCCATGTTGTATTTGAGGACCTTGGTTTTCTCCTTCTGTATGTTGAGGTCTACTGATGCAGAGACTGCTGCTACACTGGCTGTCTTTATCTGCATTTGTTCGTGTGTATGGGATAGGAGGGCTAGGTCATTTGCGAAGTTCAAATCGTCTAAATGGTTCTGAGCTGTCCATTGTATGCCGTGTTTCCCCTCAGATGTCGAGGTCTCTATGATCCAGTCGACCACCAGAAGAAAGAGGGAGAGAGACTAAATTTAGAATATTATAATTATGTAATTGACAAATCAGTATATTGAATAACTAACTAGTTCTACTGGTAATGTCATACATAAAAAATAGTCCTCTCTTTATTCATTCTGTTACATTTCATAATTTCTCGTTAGTAGAATACAGTTTAAGTGTTGTAAATTATTGTTCTGAAACCTGTTACAATTTTCTTGATAAATACACTATTGAACTCTTTAAGAATGACATTTATTTGTATCACAAAAAACATTAGGTAAAGTTTACCTAATTAGTGTTTTCTTTTTAGTAGGACTTTTATATAGATTAATGATAAACCTCTTAAAGAAATTTTCATCTAATAGATAATTCCAGAGTTACACAAACGAATCGAATGCAACATTATTGTTTAATAAAAGTAGTGGAACAATTGTTAACCAGCTACACGAAATTGAGACTCAAGAATCGAACAGATTTGTGTCCTACTCTATATAGCTGTTAATGATATTATTTTTGTGTGATTAATAATTGTTTCTAAATAAAATCGGCATATCATCATTCTGAACTTTTCAAACTTTCAGTCAAGATCAATAATACCCAATGATGTTGTCTTGAATTATGGGATTTAAGGCTTTGTATAAAGTTCGTTTAGGTAACCTACGATCCCCAAATATTTTCCAGGCTAATAATCATGTCGTTGAGTATCGTCTTTTGTTCATTGTATTCCTACTGTCAATAACGAAATGTTTTGTTAGAAAATTATGGGAAGATACATAGGAAAATATGTGAATACACAATTCATTCAAATAAATTTACTAAAAGTTTATACGCTTTTCCTACCTGTTTCCACTGTTCAACATACCCATGAACATAGTCAGCCGATTTCTCTAGTTGCCTTATTGTATCCCTTTGTTAGAAACATTTGTACAGAAACTTCCTTAAATTCACCAAATGATTTAATAGCATAGTCCGGGTATTTGTTGGACAAGATATCTAATGTGGTGTAAATATAATATAATCTTTTCAAATAATTCTATTTTATTCACTCATTATCCTTTCATTACTCTTTTACGTAGAAAGTGACAAGCTTGATGTTGAGAACAGAGACCCTCAGAAATCAAATAGTAGCAAGGCTATATACTGTACAAATCCTCCTAAAGAAACTCCCGTGGAATTGTCGAAACCTGTTCACAGAGTGGACCGTCCTGGTGCTGGTATACAGAGTAAAGATGTGCCCCAGAATTGTAATACTTCATAGTACAAGTGATACTACTCACCATCATCTTTGGTATACTATGTCCATATCGAGTGTAATTTTGGAATCAACATGTGCATTTCGCAATTCACGCACATATTTAACCAGATAGATAATAAGATCTGGACATTTGCTTTCAACGTCATCTAATATCCCTTCACAATGTAATTTAGCTTTTTTGTATTGAATGAATTGTAAATACACTATCCAATTCCCATGTTGAACAAGTTAAAACAATGCGTGAAATGTTATTTCTACGAAAACGTTATGTCTTTTGTGACTACTACAGACTACGTATCACTAGGTATATTGGTTGTAAGTAAAATCCAGTATTTTATTTGGAGTAGGTTCATTCCAAACAATGTCACAATTCATCTTGTCGTTCACGTGTGATCTGGTCGGGACCAAGCACATGAATCACCAATTGAAAGTATGAGTGAAGATGGTAACGGATGTATCCACTACTGAATATTAAGAGTAAATCATTTCGTTTTGTATTGTAATTGACGCGAGCCGACTGCTTTCCTTGGTGAATGGCATCGGTTTATTTGTAATTTTCACCCATATAAAACCACATCATTAGCGCACCGCAGAAACTTATGTACTACCTTATTTCAAAGTGTATGTCAAAATTTTTCTTGTTTTAAATTTGTTGACCAATTAATCATGCTTGTTAACCGTAGGCAATTAAGCGCTTTCAGCAGGGTGAAACCAGAGTCGATCCATCCTAACTGTTCAGACTTAATATGGATTACTAGATTTATTATGTTAACATATATTTAGCGATTAGGCTGATACATTGGAGATAAGTTATTGAATTCACTACATTGGTTCAAGTTGTCATAATAATCAACATCAAGAATGATCTTTTGGTCACCAAAAGAACTAAAACTCTGTAGCATATATCTCACAATATTTAAGTATTTGCGAATCTGGCTTATGCAATTTACAGTTACTTTAATCACTGAGTAGACTGTAGTGTCAAAATTAATACGCAACAAATGCAACGTTACTGCTACAGAGTGAAGAAACAAACTCATCCAATTGAACATAAGAAACAACTAAGGCAGTCTTTAGCACACTGAACTGTGATGACGGTGAGTTTTTAGGAAAACGATTAAGATTACTGGAACAGTAAGACAATAAATTAGGAGGCACTTAGTAATGATAGAAAACAATCAAATAAATTAATAATGAACGTCTTGCAAATAAGAAGTTCTGTACAAAGTTTTTGTTACCAGATAGACGTATAGTTTAACAAAACTGGAAAAAAAATTTTGAAGCTACCTAAATCTCAATAAAGAATAATAATATGAACAAAATGAATATTGTACAAGTGGATTTTATAGGAAATCTGAATGAAAACAAATAATCAGGTAACACAATTATTGAAATCAAATGTCAAACGCATCATAATGGTATACAAACAAATGTTTTATGTTTTTAATTGAACTTGAGTAAATATTGTTGGGAAAATTTAATTGAAAAGTTGTTAGCATGAAAAAAAATTAATACGAAAAAAGAAAGAGGACAAATAGTTGAAAAAAAACTACATAGTGCGGTACTATTTAATAAAGGTGATTAGTTTTACAAAAAGGCAATTTACATAATAATATTAGCAAGTTCTCTGTGTAAAAATAGTTCTGCTCTGCACAATTTTGAACAACATTGTTTAAATGAGCTACACAGCATTCTTCCAGCCTGATAATGGCTGATCACTGTATACAAACAAAATTTAAAAATACAATAACTTCGGGGAGAATTAGATATCAAGTAAAAATGAGGACTTTAAAAAAAAAACGCATGATACAAAAACAACTTGCTTTAGTATAGAAGGGAGAGACAAATAGAAAAAAACTAAGTTCGTGAACAATTGTGATAATTAAGTCGATAACCTAAAAAGAATGTACATTTTCTGGAAAGGGATTTGAATAATACAGCCAGTTGGGATTAATCTGTGTGAAGATAATTATATAAAGCATCAGTTGTCTATATTTACAGATATAAACATCTGAAGATGTTCGCTGAACGAAACACTTCTAGATAATTGCATAATTTCGAAGCGGTGAAACACACAGACGCGTCGGCCATAAAATTCATTTCTTCTGAATAATTTATAGGGATGGATTTATTGGTTAGACGGATGAACGGGAGTAGCTAAAGTTGTCATTGATGTCGAAGGATTATGGCTGCAAAAATTAAAAACATTTGGGTGATTTATTAAGACTGATTTGGAAGATGATCAGTTAAAGAAATTACTGTACTACATACAAAAAAGTCTCCCAACATAATATAAACAGTCAACTTACTGAGGTGCACATCCTGCACTGTTGGGGGGTATTTCTGAAGGTGATGTAGGTCGGGAAGGGTCAACTGTAGTCATACTAGAAACATTTCCAGATGCATTTTTGCTACTACTCGCGATATTGGTGCGCTTCTTTTTGATAGCTGTACTTGTGGACTGTGGATTTAAATTAGCGTCGGCTATATATTATAAAATAACGATTGGAAAAGATAAACATGGTATACAAGGACAATTGACAAACGGTGAAAGTAAAAGTGCGATACACAGATAAAATTTGAAAACGATATCCAAAAGTATAATCCGACACTTGATTATTAACTGAAGCAGGAAAAGTCCGGTTACACGTTCTTGTTCCATAAACAGAGCTATGTAGGCTATTTAACAACAACACGTTCAAATTTTTGAGACAAAAAAAACTGGTGCCATTACGTCTAGAAAAAGCCCAATACAATAGAGTTATGATTCTTGTTTCCTAACCAATGCAGTCGGAATTTGTCACCTCACTTTATCAGCTTTGGCAGAATTAGTTTTACTGGATGCCCATTCAGGCACTGTATGGCATTTGGGTTTCTAATCACTTCGCTTGATTCATCGAAAGACAGACAGAACGATAGAAAACATTTAATAAACACGGGGCAATATATCGATGCGAAGAATTCCATCTAACTTACCAACCCCAACGCTATGAGGACTGGAAGATGATAAATCAGATTTGTTAAGTGAGCAAACGATCTGCATATTCCTTTCATCCATCCAATCACAGCTGCTAAATTATCCATAAATCCTTCAAGATCACTATGTAACTTCGCTATAAGTGCGTGGTTTGATTTCTGTACACTTGTTTTTAGTTGATACATCTTGATATCAAACATAAGTTTGTATAATTAGTTTCGACTTATTATTATTTTGTGCAACGGATAGTAATAAAAAGTGGAGATTAAAAATGAACCAAGTGAAGTAAGATTGTAATGTGGAACTTGATATTTGAATACTGTATTTTAGTGACTAAACCAACGGCTCCTCATATTTATTTCGGAAGTCGTCTTCATCTACATGTTGAATCTAAATTATTTTAATGATCAACTGAGTCGGGTGAGGTATACTAGTTAAAGAGATATTGACAGAAGAGTACAGAGCTTCAATGATTCCATCTTTTTGTGCACAACAAAAACAAATGAGAAAACTAGGGGTTACGCGTTCATAAAATGTCTATTTATTCTATCAAATGACCCCTGAAATTACACTGGATATAGTTCAACTATGTTTTCCATTATTTAGACCTATACTTACATGATTAGTGTTCATCAAAACATTTATCAGCTATTCTATTCATCTTATTAAGTATTTTCAAAGACTAGACAACTTATCTCATTCTTTACAATTACAATCTATGTAATCCGTAAATTGATTTGATTACTTAACACAAATTTCTGACTCTTTAACTAATTACGTCATATGTTCACTTGTTTTAATTTATTTAAGATATATATTCTTAAACATTTATAACTAAATCATCTAAATGCATTATTGTTCAATCCCGTTAACTGATTCACAATCATTTGATCAGTATTGATTGAACTGACAAATCTACATAATATAGTCACAAAGAACGATCGGAAAACACATTTTTAAAGTTTTGTGTTAATTAAGTTACATGGCGAACACACACATGGGTTTATGTGCTGGAAACCTGTTACTACGTAACAAAGTTTCCCTAAGCAGTACTAGTAAAGCTTTTAGCAAGTGATTTAGTGGTTATCTGTAATACAAATTCTCAGCATCTAGATTTGTAGGTTTTCTCAACTGATAAAACTAAACTTTTCTCAACATATAATAAAACTAGAGGAAGATGGAAAAACGTTGACTACATAAGGATAAAATAATTTATTGCTTACGAAGAGAGGAATCAGAATCTCGGAGTCGTTTGCCGCGCCCCCTACCCCCATATCCTACACGTCCACTTGTTGGTACCACCGTGTTACCTTGTACTGGAGCAGGATTGGAACTGCTGACAGCTTGAGGATTGGTAGCATGACTAACTCCATCATGTCCTGGAGCATTATCAGTGTTGTCAGGATCCAGACTTGATCGATAGGCATGCAGACTAGCCCATTCATTGCCAACAGGATTTGGGAAAATCTAATCACAAAAGATGGAAATTTAAAAAAAAGTATAGAGAAATAATAGACAAGTCAAAAGCCCAATTTACTGTGATAAAAGAAACATTCAAATTACTGGATACATACTAATATTGCACGTCAAACCTTCTACTCTGTTAAGGGAGTACGAATAAGAGAAATAATCATCCGTAGCTACGAAAGAAACAGTATCTAGAGAAAGCGTATTTGTGTCAGCTATCCGTTTACGACCGATTAACTGAAAAAAAGTGTGTTCTGATCTAGATTCAGCTACAAACTTACATTTACTTATATACATGATATTAAAAAAATAAACCATAAGATTCAGGTGTTGTAGGTTAATTGCCATCAAATGAAACTAAGAACTAGATAATTATTCTCAGTTCTGATCAGTCACATCATTATTAGTGGTTAAATGTAAATATTGAGTGTTCAAGTACTCTAATAATCAATCATGATAAAACGTAGTTTAACACACATCATCATTTTCGCAACGAGAAATACTTGGCATAACTGAGTTACGAAGCAACTCTTGAAACTTACTCGACGGAGATATTCATATATGCTTTTCTTATCTTGTCTGAGAAGCTTGTTTGAGAATTCAGCGACAACTTCAAGGAAAAGTAAATTGCTTGGGACACCAGGGGTTTGACCTGTTGCAGCAGCTGTGGAAGCAGCTCGGGAAACACAAAACTGTATCCCTTCGGAGTGAAAGGCAACCATAGATTCTCGTATTTTAATTAGGTCGAGACCGAAACTGAGATTCAGACGCCTAGCAAGTTCCTTTACAGCTTGAAGACCTTCAGAACCACGTTCAACACAATTCTGAAAGCGAGAAAACAAACAACTAATCAATTCATTATAAAATCGAATGCAGACGGGAATGCATGACATACAAATTTCTTTTCACGACAGGAATTGAAGGAATTCTGTAATGCACCGGATACAATCTTAAGCCTTATTCGGTTTATTCAAAAAAAGTTAGTGTTACGGGCATTTGATTATGAGACTTTTCTCAAAAACATTCAGCGTACAGTGGGGCGACCGAATAGGTCAAGACGTGTGGTAGAAATGGTGAACCTTTATTGGTAAGAACGGTTCAGATGTGTAATTTTTGTTCAGCCATTGCCTTTCTAGCCCTGTAGTGTTGTATATAAGTAGGAATAAACTGGGAAAAGGCTAGTAACAAGCCGAAAAAAGGACAGCAATCAGTAATTCAAGGAAATGTAGTTTAGAGCCCCCATAAGATAATCGCAATTTATGCTTAAAGATTCTGGGTGACGAAAAATAAAATGGTTGCAACATGACAGAGTCCATCACTGGATTAACCACTTCAATGAGTCCGGTGTTCATTTTGTTGTGCTAATGAGGTATAGCAACTTGGACCGATGCACATATGAGCCTGGTCCTACGTTGTAGCTGACTGGACAGAGTCACTCTATTCCTTAAGTTTCTGCATGTCCTAAACATAGTATTATCCTTCAATTTTTATTCTCCAAAACCTAGATAACATTTGAATATTTTAAAGTTTATTCGGGATGTCAAAGTATGTAGCACATATTTTTATTTACTCACCTTTCCTTTTTCTGTGAATCAATTTTTAGGTTATTGAATAAATGTACCCAAAATCTGCTGAAATACAGCGAAAGGGTTTCTGTGTCGCTTAAACTGACGTGTAGTTATGCCCAACAGAAGACACAAAAAGTACAAAAATATGATGCAGTTAGACACAAAAACTATTTCCAATAGTTTTTGTTTAGGGACATGTAAATGCAGAGCAATCGCACTCTTTAGATCAGAACAAAACACAGCACCTACTAGCATAATAACATAAATTTACGAATCTCGTTTGAAGAAACAAAAGGAAAGATAAGCAGTCCAAATGGGAATAAACACTATGTCAACTTACATTAGAAGCTGATTCTACTTGTAGATAACATAATTCTAAACAATGCGCAATCATACGAGCGGTGTGCACGCGATTGATTTCACGAGCTTTGGCCAGTGTAGATTTCATAATATCACCAAAATCATTGAAAGACCGAATATAATATTTGTAGATCGGAGCAGCTGCTCGTATAGGAATCAAATTATATATTACTAGTTTAAAAAATGCAGCTAGCTGTGTACGCCTTTCGTGAAGCGATTCAAATTTGACATTTTCATCATCCTCTTCCTATGATAAAAATAAAACAATTACATGTTTTAATTAAAATTCAACTATTGAAAAGTGGTAGGAATCATTTAAATTAGGGATATCCTATAAACATACATCCCTGTTTTAAAATTATCTATGTAATACAAATGAATAAAATCAACTCATTCTATATCATGACGGTATAAATTACCCAGGGTGATGTGTTACAATGGAGTGAATATTAAAGACATTGGGACTTTTGGGAAAATTTTACAAATGATTATTATTTGTATTTCTGTTTCTTGTATTGTAGGCTTGTGTTACATCTAGCAACTATCGCTATACGATTGTTATATAATTGATTGAGTCTTAGGACGTTAGGTAATAGCTGAGATAGCCATTGTGGGGTAGAGAAATTATAACCACGATTCTGACAGGCGAAGCTTCTCTAAATTTTTATCAATATTTATTGGTAACAATAAGTATGAATATTTACATATTTTGAAAGTCGAATATTGTTACAGAAAGATAAACCATTGAAATAAACGATCTCATTAAGATGATGAACTTGATAGTATATTTTAATATTTCAGTAAACAAAAAAACTTAAATAAACTCATCTTGTATTTACTTGGATATGAACCACGCTCTAATTGTGAGGACTAATGATAATACCCAGTTGCTAAAACCGAAGGTGTAGCGGGGTTCGAACCTGGAACTTAATGGTTGGAACTCATATGCTTTTACTATTATTCCACCATACCACATTTTAATATACAATTTGCAGATAACTACAGCTACAAAACAAGTAATACATAAATTGATGGTATAGAGATCTGAATTTAAAAAGAAACGGTACAGAAACCTAGTTATAATATTAGAAACTTACGTCGTCATCATCAACGAAAACCCGTTGCTCCAGAAAATTGGTCAACTTGAGTTCTAGATCCCTGTCGGCTGTATAAATGATAGATTTCAGATTTGGCAAGTGAACGGAAAGATGACGTGAAAAAACAACTAGCAAATCACAAATGGACAGAAACGATTCTGATGCTAACCGTTTGCATGAATGATCTAGGTAGCCAATACATACGTCCATATACAGATTTAACTGTCTTCTTAGTTTGTTCAAATCCGTCTGCAAACAGAAACAATGCAACACAAATATCAATAAAAAGGTAGAGATGGACAATTACTAGCAATTGGACTTGGGGAGTCACAACTAATAAATCTAAAGGTAGCTGCGTGTCTTTCGAATCAAACGAATTCCCATAGATATAATTATCAAGGAAGATGATAACGAAGTATAACTTCAAATATGTGCTTTGAATGAAGATAGTAGATGGAAGTCTGTACGCGCGGGAACTGTATAAAGAGTGAATGGTTATGAAAAGTCACTCTGAAAACAACTTTCCTGAACAGAAACAGAATACAAGAAATAAATCAGTTTGACGTTGGTTAACTTCAAACTTTATTCGCCTCTTCAAACAAAAACTGCAGTTCAGAGTTATCTCCCCTCCCTCGAAAAACAACACAAGAGATCAACGTTAAACTAAGCCACTATTTTGCACAATACCAGGTAAAAAACACGTTAAAATACTGTAATGAAATGGACAAGAGAAATAGAAAGAATCTAAACTTACTTTGTCGACATCAGCCTCTCCTATTCTAGCAAGATTCCACAGTAGAGCTTTAGAGCAGCAGCTAACAGCCTGAGCCACAATTTCACCGTTGGCATCATTTCCGGATTGTGCGATCCTGATAAGACTATCCCATAAATCCAATCCAGAAAGATCGTGACAACTAAAATTATTCGAAAAATAAAAGCAGTATGAAAATTTCCGGATAAATACAAGCTGTCGGTAACGACTAAAGTATCTCCGAATGAAAACACCACAAAGATTTTCCGGTAAATTTCACAAAAATGGTTAGCCGTTCCAGATTGTGGTTTACTACGAAAAGATTATTTACAATGAAGTTGATTAATGTCGAGATTCTGAACTAGTTTTGTGTAATGGTAATTGTGTGTGATGAAATATGGAAGTATAAAGAAATAAGAAATTAATTTTAATATAAAAAAATGAAAACGAATGTCCAGCAATCAAGAACTCAGTTAACTGAAAACAAATATCGTGTGAAGCATAGCGTTTATAGCATTTTAAGATTGATAACACACAGACTGCACCATTTCACTTAGTTATGACAATTTTCTCAAGGTCAGGAAACGATGAGGTCAAATAACTGTTTACGAAATATTGCAGCAGTAAGTACGATAATGACACAACGACGATTATGATTGAATAATTAAGCTCATTACTGTAGATGACACAAAAATGTTGATTTCAAGGACAGCTAAACACAAGTTTCTTGTAAAATTCATCTGATTAAATAACGTCAAGGATAATTTACAGTATTATCAGACATCATATATTACCGAATGAAAGAGGTCACAATTATCTACAAAGATTCTCAACTAGTAATCGCGAGTGGCTTAAATAAAACGTTGAGTTGACACATTAAGCCCACTCTACTGGAAATCGTGATATCACTAGCTTGCACAAGAAAATGTGTGGTTCAAAGATGGATACACGACTAAGTATTAAGTTTATACGCTCATAAATATATGTTGCCAAAATCCCTAGAAAAACCATTTTGCTGAACAGACCTTGTATTACTTGAAAGCCCTAAAAATTCAACCGATATCATAAGAGTAAAATTCTCTAACTTGATCACAATTTTAGTGAACACTGTTTGGGAAATCATACACAGTTAACTAAACCCATCTTAATAGATTCACAACTGTGATGTGAGACAAATTAAGAAGGTATGTTAGATTAAGAACTGGCACTTTATAAAGCATCCATATGAATAAAAATACCAGCTTATCTAAATTAAGTTGTTGTTCCAAGGGCTAAATAGCATGACTAAAAAAACGCAGTGAAATCACATATGTTGTGATGCTCATGTAGCTCTACACAGATGACAAAATGTTAATTACTAATCCGCAATTGGTATTTATGGGTTGATAATTGGTTTTTTGTTATTTTTGATGTCACAACAACAATCTTTGGAATATAATGGAAAGTTAATTTTCTCTAATCGTTGCGAACAAATAATATTAATAAAAAAACATCTCAATGATTTTAAATGGTGAACTGTTATTTCTGAGGTCCAATAAATTAACTATACTTGACACTAAAAACTTTATTTATAGTTGTCCACTTTTGGTAAATATAACAGAATGTTTACAAAGGAATAATAAATTAATGACTCACGCGTAAAACGCATAGATTCGTTTCAATGCAGCTAGTAAGTGAAACTCATCATCCTGATCGGGTTCCTCTCCCTAAAAGGTGGAAAGATATAACTAACATAAATGGGTGACATTTATTTTGGGGGATAAAATAAAAATAAAAGGACACAAATATGTTAAGTAATCCAGTTAATAAGCTGCTAAACATAGAATTAAGATATCCAGAATCAGAAGCTTTAGTGTATTTTTCGTAATTTACACTTATAATCGATTCAAGATTTAAGATCCAACAAGATGTACGTGAGTGAATATGAGCGAACATATATTAGCAGCAGTGGCGTATGTACTAAAATCGAGTCAAAGCATCGTCGATAGTCTATAAAAGTTGTAACAACAAAATATATTTGTAAAGTATTCGACTTGAAAGCCAGAAGTGTCTATGAAATCACAAAACCAAGTGCAATGGCTAGTAAACGTAACAATAGTGCTAGACCAATAATAAAACTGGGTTTTGGAATACTTATGCTTATACGAACATACTTTATTAACGTCTCTTTTTTATCTAAATATATGATAACAAAAAAATACCCAAAGTTTACGGCATAACAATAAGAATTTTTGTACGAAAATTAACCTGATCGTTAAAGTAGTTTAAGAATGCATCCCGATAAAGATCCACCAAACGATCCAACAGCGTACCACGGACAGTTTGACACTTTGCAGAAATGCTTAATTCATCAATACACAACGATTCGTAAACGCGCGAACAAGCCAATAATGTGTGTGGATCAGTATGACGTTCTACAATATCCTGAAAATGAGAAATGTTTTCTAATAAGTACTTTTGACTAAACATTAGATAAAAATTCCCAAACAATGCACTGTTAGATTAATAAATGCAATTGCTTAGTACTCTGAACTTTCTAAGTTGCGTTCAGCAAAAACCAGTAAGTGAATGTAGTTACAAAATTATTATACAATAATCAGGAATGCTTACATTTCCAGTGATGAAACTACATTAATTAAAAATTTATCAATGTGAGATAACTACGGATCACTACTTAACAATTGTAGCGTGTAATAAATACATGACGAAAATCCCGTGGCTGACAGAATAAATAAGTCTTGCCTTACACTGATTTTTACAATACTGTTTAAGTGGTGAATGTAATCAATCAGCATTGTATTGGTTTCAAAAGACTTATGCCAATTGTGAAGAGTATGTAGTCATGAAATGAAAGAGGAGTGACTATGATGTTGATAAATCTAATATTGATGTACGACTTAGTTTTATTGAATTAACCTTGAAAAAACTTAGCATGGTTGCAAAATCAATCGACTTTCGATCATGATTGAGGGTCTTAGTCTCGATTCATATAGGCTTGAGCAAGGGAACAACGGGAATAGTTGTCTCGCTAAAACCGAGTATACAAACTTGATGAATAATTAATTTCACTACTTGATAAGATACGAGATCCAACTAATAGTGAACCTGAAAAGTATGAGAAATATTTGATTTGTTTTTAAGCCAGTAGAGAAAATTATACGTATGAAATCCAACAGTGGAACATTTTTCGTTAAACATCATATTTATTGCTAATTACTCATGTGGATATGGAGATCAAAGCCAAGAAATACATTAAAACTTAAGTGTGCAGATGGCATTGCAATGAATAAACACAAACGAGATGAGCTATTAAGATGAACGCGAACGTACCTGAACAGCTTGTAGAAGAAGATCCAAATGTCTTTCATGTCGGCCCGTAGTGTAGAGTTCCATTTCCATGTGTCGTGGAATAGCAAGAAGGTTTGTAGCTCGTTCAGGAGATTCACCATACTTAGCAAGGAGTGCTGGTATAGCAGTTATCATTGCTTCTGTCATACGACTACGTTCTTCGACCAGGGCACGAGCTTCACGTGAAGAGGGTGCAGCGCTGTTCCCTGTACCGGTAGTTGCACCACCTCGACCGCGTCCACCAGTCTCCAGTAAACTCATGCCAGTCAATAAGTTGGTATTGGAATGTGAATGATGGCCGCCAGTCTGCACACAATGAATAATTTATAAATTGCTATAGACTGAATTCATGCTTATTCACACAATGTTTCGTAGTATATAATAAATAAAATAAAAATCAACAGACAAAATATACTTGGAAGTGACTAACCTGTCGTCCTACTGGTGATTCCCCCGTTGCTGCTTGACGAACACAACAAACCATAATTTCGATCAAACTTGTTTCTTGATTTGCATCCATAGGTTCCTCACCTCTACCTGGTTCTTCAAGAAGCAAATCTAGCATAGCCTCCCAATCACGAAGCATTGGGCATAAATCCCATAAACTATCGACCAAATAAGTAGCATGTTCATGCAACTAAAATGAATTAAGATGAATTATCAGTTACATAAATTACCAACCTGATTAAAAACGATGAGGCAAAACAGGTAAGTGGACGAAAATGAGAAATCACCACTTTTAACTGAGGAAACACATTCATATATCTCTTATTTAAATAAATATAATGGTGTTAATTTAACTTAGTAACTGATATTTGAAACGACTCTGAATTCTTTATTATTAAAGAAATAATTTTCTTTCTTGACAGAATTGTTTATATGGAATATTAAGGTCTCAACCAATCTACCGACATATCAATCGTCTTAACCTAATTGCACTTAAATCATAAGCTAGCCTGATGAGATTTTATTAAAACCGAATAATCCATTCATCTGAGTATTTTACCATTGAAATCCATGAATGTGTTATTCGTTTAAATCATTTAACGCCTAGAATGTTGATATTTAATGACGTTTATGTACGCTCTAAATTTGATTACCTATGAAAATCCAGATTATCAGTTAGTTACTTCAAATAAAATATAAATATTACTCAAAAGGAAACACGAATTCATTGTAAGAAATTGTTACTTTAAAAGTACGACTTTAAGCAATTTGTAAGTTGACTATAAATAAAAACTAGGAAAACTGGTGTTGCTTTTTTCAAACTTACTTCACTCTCGATGAAAAATTGCACGAGGTCACGAATGAGTGGTGTATTTTCACTACGTTTTTTACCTTTTCTGGTTCTGGTGGGAGGAGCATGGGAATCAACTTCAAAAAGTTTCAAAGTTAAAAATTCACCAGCTGCTTGTGCCAAAGGTCTGTGAGTGCAATAAACCAACTCATATATATTTTCACAATCCTTGTCTTCAAGTACTGAGTCACTATGCCTAAGAAACAAATAGATGAGACAGATAAATAAACAATGTGATACTTTTGATGGGAGCAAACTAACCAATCTAGTAACACAATGCATTGTTCCCGATTGTAAATAAAAACATTACAAAAAGAAACTAGTGGATAAATTGAAATTAATAAGGTTGGAGTGATGACAGAGAATTGTGTAAAAACTGAGATACCGGGTGTAATACACAGATAACAGAGGATTTTCTTATAAGATCTATGAATTAAAAACATGAATGCATTTGCGTGATAACCCTTTTAAAAAATAAACTCACTCACTAGAGATTTCAATATAAACCACACTAATTGTTAGGGCTAATGATACCACTTCGTAGCCCAGACTCAAGTAGGTGGAGTGGAGCTGTAACCTGGGGAACAATGATTAAAAGACGGACGCCTTAACTACAAAGCCATCGCTCTCCTTGGTTGGAGAATGCATGGGGTTAGTATGGCTTAATGATTTTAGATAAGTGAGGAGAGATTCAGTGCCACAGAACTTGGTAAATGTTAACTATAACTAAAAAGGATGATCTACTTAGTATTGGGGACAGTCTTCTTTAATTATAAGTCCGAAAAAAAAGATTTGGACCGTTTGATCTCACTCAGTTATCGATGTGTGATGTGCTAGACTGATAAAATATCACCCAACTCGAAAACTAATCGTTAAGTAGGTATTGACGATTATCACATGTATGAAAAATACATAGGCGAAGATTTACTATCAGCTGTTAAAACTATATATGAGCGTAGGGTGAGATGTATGAAGGTTATCTAAACATGACAAAGTCATACCTCATTCCAGTATCGGGATCACCGGGTAAGTAATAATGAGGTTAGACGCAGGGTATTAGAGAATGACGGTAAATCAGTTGATGAGGTTGTGAATCTTCATCGACTGAGATGGTTGGGTCACATGTTACGTAAACCTAAACACCGATCACCACGACGCGCAATGCTGACTAGTGTTGAGGATGGTAGGAAGAAAGTTGGGGGTGGCGAAACCAAAATATGGCATCAGTTACTGAAGTCACTAACTTCTAATCTGAGACATGTTAGTAGATGCAAACTACTTGGTTGGGGTCTGCGTGACTATCGTAACCAACGGTTGAAGACTCTTGGTGATATGGCTTGGAATCGATCACGATGGCGTAGATGTATACACTTTCTATTTTTCCTTTAAACGTTAAGGTTAAAATCGCTTCATATCTTTCTTTCTACGAACTAATTCTTTCTTCCTGTACTATATCCTTATTGCAATCTTTCTTTTATATATTACCACCATTGAATTAGCTACTTCTATGAATCCGAAGTTCATCTTGTTGTGCTAATTAGGTATGGCAACAAGGACCGATGCATATATGTACGTGGTCCAACGTTGTGGCCGACTGACTGACTGATATTTCCAGCATCCTAGATGAGGTGAAAATTATCTTCGGGTATGGATGGACGGACTTGATCATCCTGATGGGTGATGTAAACGCCAAAGTCGGAATGAACAACTCTGGGTATGAAGATATCATGGGACGACATGGACTTGGAGAAAAAAACAGGAATGATGAGTGATTTGCATAGCTTTGTGCATTTAACAAACTAGCCAAAGGCGGCACGATACTCCCCAACAAAGTCATACACAAAGGTACATGAGTCTCACCGGACTACACCACGGAGAACCAGATGGATCATATTTGCACCAATAAAAAATTCAGGTCAATGAGAGACATGAGAACCAAGATGGGACTGAAAGTGAAGAAGCATTGGACAACTAGAAAAAGGTTCAATACAGCCTTCCTACGATACTGACAAACTCGACTTATTCAAGATAACTCTCAATACAAGTTCCAAGCCTTAAAGGATCTACTGAAAGAGGAAACTACTATGGAGGACAATTCGAAAAAGATGAAAGAAATACCAACTTTAAAGTGTAAGGAGCTGCTGGGCTGCAACAAGCATCATAAGAAATGGACCCCTATGGAAACCCTAGACAAGAAAGGAAGAACAAGAAAACAGCAATTAACATTAGTCGAACAAGAACCGAGAAAGTCAAGAGACAAATTGAATACACAGAAGCAAACAAGTGAGTGGAGAACAGCATTAGAGCCAACAAAAAGAAATAAGTGGTAGATCTAGTAACGACAGTGGAAAAATCTGCAACAGAAGGAAATATTGGACAACCATATGGTACAACGAAGAAATTAGCAGTGAAATACACTAAACCAGAGCGACCAGTAAGGAACAAGGAAGGTAAAACAATCACTGAAATTTAAGAACAGAGGGACAGGATTCTTCGAGGAACTCTTGAACTGACCAGCTCCCTTGAATCCACTGCGCATCGAAGCAGCACACATACACTTTCCTATAGATGTCACTCCACCAACGATCGAAGAAAACAGGATGGCCATCAGACAAGTCAAGAGTGAAAAAGTAACAGGGCCTGAAAATATATCAGCCGAAGCACTGAAGTCAATCACAGAAGTAACTGTAAACATGCTCCACATTCTATTCAGGGAGCTTTGGGAGGAAGAACAAGTGCCAATTGACTGGAAAAAAGAAAACCTTAACAAGATACCAAACAAAGATCTGAGCAAATGTGAGAACTACAGAGGCATCGCACTACTATCAGCCAGTCAGTAACAACGTGGAACTTCGTACGTACGTACATCAGTTCGAGTTGCCACACCACATTAGCACAGAGATGCAGTGGTCGATTCAAATCCCGTAGTGCTAGATGTAATAAAATTATAAGCTGTAATCAGAAAAGTTAGGGTTTGAAGATGTGATTCAAGGAGTATAATACAGTGAAATAAATTTGGAAAGAGGAAAAAGAAAGGGACATGAAGAATTCAGAAGATTAGAATTTGGGAGAACACAAAGAGTGGATGCACCTGTGCCATTGCGCACTACAATAGGTAGAAGAGAAAGTTTTCAACAGTGTTGTTGAACCGGATGGAAGATTCAGTAGACGTCCAGCTTCAAGATTAACATTCAGGATTCCGTAAGGATCGGTCGTTCAAAGACCAAATCGCAACGCTACGGATCATTGTTGAACAGTCAATTGAATGCAACTCGTAACTATATATCAACTTCCTTGACTATGAGAAAGCATTTGATAGTGTGGATAAGAGAACCTCATGGAACCTTCTGCGACACTATGATGTACCTGAAAAGGTCGTCAACATCATCCAGAATTCATACGACGGATTACACTGCCTATCCGTGTATGAAGGATAACTGACAGAAGCATTCCAAGTGAGGATCGGAGTCTGACAAGACTGCTTACTACCACCCTTTCTCTTTCTTCTGGTGGTTAGCTGGATTATGAAGACCTCCAAGTATGACAGGAAGCACGGAATGCAGTGGACAGCTCGGAATCAACTATACGATACGGACTTCGCAGATGATCTGACCCTTCTATCCCATACACAAACGCACACCAACAAATGCAGGTCAAGACAACCAGTGTGACAGGAGCATCAGCATCAATAGGCCTCAACATACACAAATGAAAAAGAAATATCCTCAAACACAACACAGAGAACACCAATCCAATCACACTTGATGGAGAAATTCTAGAAGATGTGGAACGTCTCATGTATCTGGGTAGCATCATCGATGAACAGGGAGGATCTGATGCAGACGTGAAGGTGATGATTGACAAGGCAAGGACAGCATTCCTACAGTTGGAGAATATATGCAACCAATATCAAAGTCACAATCTTCAATACGAACGTCAACACAATTCTACTGTATGGAGCTGAAACTTGGAGAATTACCACAACGATCATCAAAAAGCTACAAGTATTTATAAACAATTGTCTACACAAAATATTCAGTGTTCGTTGGTCTGACACTATTAGCAATCAACTTCCAGTTGATGGGGAAATTAAGGAAAGACGGTGGAAGTGGATGAGACACACATTGAGGAAATAATCAAACATCACGAGGCAAGCGCGAACTTGGAATCCTGAAGAGAAACGAAAAAGCGGAAGACCTACGAACACAGTGTTGAAAATCGGAAGCAGACACGAAAAAAAAGAATAGCAACTAGAAAAAACTGGAAAGGATTGTCTAGGACAGAGTTGGATGAAGAATGCTTGTGGGTGGCTTATGCTCCTCCATGAGGTGCAACAAGCGTAAGTAATTAGGGTTTGATTTTCTACTTGGAGAATTCCTGATCGAAATAAAGTAGACAAACAATTTACTATTGTATCTAGGAGTTTCTGACCGAATACAGTCCTCTGAACACTCAGTCCAAAATAAAATGTTACGTCAGAACTGATCTATTTCAGCAAGTTTTCCTATGATGGAGTGAAGTATTCGAATTTGTTAATCACTTCGTATATACTACATTTAGGAAGAAATCAGTTTCAAAATTCACAAGTGAACTCCGTTGACTGACTTCCAATGTCTTTTTCACTTTGATTAATTAATTGACTACGAAGTTAACGAATCGATCTTAAAGCATTTTTACTGTGTTAATTACTTAATTCATTGTTATTTTGCACTCAAGTGATGATAACTCAGTCGATAACCAGTGAAATTCATCGAAATGCAGCTTCATTAATTTAGGTGTAAATTAACTTTTCCTTTGGGGTTTTTATTAATATACTTTCTTAAAAAGACTTCTCTTTGTTTTATTCGAACTCTGTAAGGGATTACTATTGAAGTGCTGTGTATGAGTCGTTCGGTCTATTCAGCAAAGATTACGTTCCGTATTAAAAAAGTCCTAAATAGTTTGTAATTCAGTTCACAACAGCTGTCAAACGAAAAAAATACAGAATGTTGTGTGATAGCAGTGGGTTTTTAATAAAATTAGGATACACAGACGATATAATCTTGTTTGAGAAAATAACCAGTTACGGATAAAGTTAAATTATAGTTCTGTATGATTTTAAGACTCACTTCAATATACAGGAGACTAGTTTTACAGCTTGAACTGCCACTTCAGTCTCTTTATCAAGTGTCATATCCACAAGACGTGATTTAAAACGAGAGGTGAAAAGCTCCAGACTATTGATGAGAGCAGGATCTTCATACAAGGGCTGTAAGGCGCGAAGACACTGAAGACGAACATCTCCAATTCTATCATAAAGTGTCCAACCAACATACTTTAAGTAACTGTCGTCTAAAAACATAGCTGGATAACGACGCATCCAGACACCGATTTCTTGCATGCATATTGTTCGTATTTCTGCCTGGCTATCCCTGAAAACAAACAAACAAAAATGACCTGTAAAATAGGAAATCCTAAGTGAAATTTTTAAGAGTTGGGGTTATTACAAACCTTTCAAAACGTTTGAGATCATCAACACTACATTATAGCATATACATATTAAGTCAGACCTGTTCACAAGGTAAAATATGTCAGTATAAAACATTCTGTACTTAGTTGAATTGCCTAAAAAACGGAAAAATATCTAGCAAACTGTTTCTGGAAAAATACTGACAAATAGTCGAAGGACTACATCATCAACATTAAACTAGTCTATTCCGATTTAGTAATAACTAAGACATGACGGAAAGCTCTAGTTGAATTAAGACAGCATGTAATACGTTTACTTGTCGGTTAACATTATGGGAAGATTTCGCATCTTATCCTAGTTATAACGTTTTTTGATTTTACAGAAAATCCAAGCAATGTAACATTTTATTTTTTGAAAAGAGCAAGAACAAAGATTCTAGCAGAATAGCATGAATTCATTTTATTTCGTAGGTTCTCGTCAACTGCTTACAACCTGTGATATTTAAAAATCATAATTGCATAATGGATTTAAATTGCTCACAGAATATTGTAAATATATACCTAATGTGAAAGAATATTCTACAACTTTAATTGTGACAACAGTTCAAAAAATGGGTTAGAAACAATTGATTACATAATGAATAAACATTGATAGGAATATAGTGATTAGAGTTCAGTTGAAAGATTATTAATTTGAAAGATAGTTGAAAAAATAAATTAGAACCAATGATGTAATAAATGCAACAGAGGGAAAAAAAATAAAAAATTTTAAGGTTCAGTGAAGGAATATTTGTCACCAGGGTAAGGAAAGATAGGTCAGGTTTTTATCGCCTGATGGCAATGGCTTCAGCAAACTTCAGAAGACTGGAGTTTGGCAAATATAAAAGGCCCAAGGAAAAGAAGACGGAAATAACTATGGTCAATAAAAAACCAGTATATATAAATCTTAACTTTAAAGGTGATGACGTCGCACAAATTATCAACAAGAGACTGAATACAGCGCTAGCCAGAACTTATCCGGCTGCTAAACTTTTAATTCTCTATAAAACAACATGTTCAATAACCCAATCAAAGATCGACAAGCAACCCTTTCATGTTACCACCAACTGTATTTATAAATTTACGTGTACCTGCCAAAGCAGCTACATCGGCCGAACTGAAAGGAGAGCATATCTTAGATTCTTTGATCATGTTCCAAAAAGTCTTAGAACAAGGGAAAGAAAGACTCTGAACAGTGCGATTACCAAACATCTCCTTGATACAGGACATCAGGTAGATACCTTACAATCCTTTAGGGTGATTAATAAGCAGCCAAACTCCAGTCTTCTGAAGTTTGCTGAAGCCATTGCCATCAGGCGACAAAAACCTGACCTATGTATTCAAAAGGAGACGGTGGTTAATCTTTCCTTACCCTGGTGACAAATATTCCTTCACTGAACCTTAAAATTTTTTATTTTTTTTCCCTCTGTTGCATTTATTACATCATTGGTTCTAATTTATTTTTTCAACTATCTTTCAAATTAATAATCTTTCAACTGAACTCTAATCACTATATTCCTATCAATGTTTATTCATTATGTAATCAATTGTTTCTAACCCATTTTTGAACTGTTGTCACAATTAAAGTTGTAGAATATTCTTTCACATTAGGTATATATTTACAATATTCTGTGAGCAATTTAAATCCATTATGCAATTATGATTTTTAAATATCACAGGTTGTAAGCAGCTGACGAGAACCTACGAAATAAAATGAATTCATGCTATTCTGCTAGAATCTTTGTTCTTGCTCTTTTCAAAATGATAAAGGGAACTATGTGTATGAAATTTTATTTTTTTATTTATTTAAACACGTAAACATTGGCACAAGGCGGCACCAAATAGATATGCGCCACATAAATTATTCGGTTTATGTGAGGGCTGGGATACTGTCGGGGTGGCCAAACCGAAGCAGGAGGTTTTCTTAGGGAACGACACCTGGAGCCTTGTCACATACCTAAATTGAAAGTAGTAGAAGTGGTTGTACAAACTAATTCAGTAAAGTACCTACTTTATTCAAAGATATTGGTGGTCCTACAAAACGTAAGAAATAATGCAAATGAAATGTTAACTTTAACCCACAGCAAACATATTTCGGTGGAATACTGATACAGAATGATGCTGACAAAACTAAGTATCTTCTAAATGTTTTTTTGGCAAAACGATGTAATTCAAAGCCACAAGAACAGATTATATTAATTAACTCTAAATATAAAATTTATCGACTTTTAGGTGACATATTTTAGGATTTATGCTGATACGTCATTTTATTAAAGTTTCTAATGAAGAAAAAAACGAGAGGAATAAAATAGTTCACTCCATAAAACCTAAAGTCCTTACACTCAAATTTACCTGTATCGATGAACGAAAACACCTTTGAAAATGTATACAAGCATATTTTTGACTTCCTCCATATTCTCTTCTAATTCTTGTCGACGTTGCATTAGCACTTCAAGTCTGTCAGAAGCACGTCGGTTCTGAACTTTTGATCTTTCAGCTTCATACTGACGTTGTGTGTTATCTCTATTGATACTAACATTGAGCGCAACATCAACAAGAGCAGTCATCATTTTCATAGCAGCCAATGTACTGGTATGTCTAAACGCCCGAACCTATAAACGAAATGTTAAAGTAGAAAACTTTATCCATATTCAACATTGGCTGACGATTAAGTACACACAAGAGGTAACTACAACATTTTACCTCGAATGGAAATGATTTTAGGTAGTGTTTTTCTTAAGAAGATACAAATACTGACAACAAAAATACAATCCTATCAACACTACCAATTTTTATGCCATCATTAGAACAACTGTTTAGTAATTGCATCTGTATATGGGTAATTACTGAGAAGTATATCTTACCTGTGAGTCAGTAAGGCCTGTCAATAAAGAGATCACTTGATCAATCATGCATTGATCGTAAATTATACTATATTGGCATTGGCGAATTAATACTTGGATGAATTCAACAAAATTTGAACGAAAGCGTTTCCAAACTGGGCTTGATTGTATAAGTGGGTATTCACCCGAGTCTTCATCAAACTCTTCAGTCATTCGACGAATAATATCAGCATGTGACAGGCGGCTATACATTTCCGGTGTTACTTTTCCTATATGAGGAAAAAAGATATTTTAATCTTTAAGTACTATACCTTTAACGAGTAAGAATAAAGTGATTTAAAATCCATAACTTAAACGTCTAAGTCAGTGAAGTGATGACTCACATCCCATAAATAGTAGTTGAGGTCAATAGGAATTTGAGGCAATATTATTATTATTATTATTATTATTATTATCAGCTTTATTCAATATTATATTTTTGGTACAATATAGAATTCTCAGCGCAAAGTATATTAACAAGTTTCCGTTTCTTTCTTCTTGGACGGTCCTGGCGATAAATATTGAGTGATAGCCGGTTAGATGTTAGCAGTTCACTAAATGGACATCTGAATAATGTACATTCTTTTCGCTGTATATTGCCAGCAACCACATTGTCTCTTATTGAGCTTTTTGTAACTTTGACAACGAAAGGTTGTACACTTTTCAGAAACGCAGCAGAATAGTTTATGTGATTAATAAACATAATGATATATTAAAACAAACAAAAATAGATAACTTGTTGAAATATCTAGATGGCAGGAACAGGTAGCCCAGATGCTCAAGCAGGCCGCCCTTATATCGAATTTGGATGAAGCTTCGATTCTATTTACACAACGAAGGTTTTTATTATTCGTTATACTTTTTTCCCGCTAGGCCTTGAAGATATTTTTACTATCCGTAAAGTATTACAAGAGAAAATTCTCACTCACGAGGCATATCCATGTATTTTTCTAATTTAGTTTCGTATATATATATAAAGGAAAACTGTCTGGACAGAATAGTGGGACATTTCTAGATTTTATTCTGAATAACGGGAGTTATTATCTGTGACAAAAGTGGGTCAAGTTAATTGACTGAGTCGAATTTATAAAGAGCGTAAAATAATGACTTCAAAAGACAGTTAAACATGACAGAGTTAAGTATTCCTGACTCATACTACATTTTACAAGTATATTTCTTCTACCTCATATTGGTTGTTTAGTGTTAATGATCAATTTCAACAAACCATTTTATTGGTTTTTTGAGGTCTTGTCAGTAATTCTAAACAGTTTTTTAAAACAATTAGTCCCTTTGATAAAATAAGATAATGCGATGAGAATTCTGATAACCTTCATCATCTCATTGCATTATCCAAAGTTGTTTTTTACGTGATTTACTTTCCACGAGAAACAAGTAGTTTATAAATGCTAACTTTCCCCTCTTATTTGTGCGAGGTTGTGTACTCATTGTTCAATTTATTAATTCGCGTTAGATTCGCTCTTAGATCATTAATATCACAACCGTACTATCCCCAGCTTGAAACATAACATCCCCACACAAAATGTATACAGAAATTATATTAAACAATGATATATATTATACACAGAACTTCACCTTTGCAACCACTGCATGAAATAAAGAATTGGATCAATTCTAACATAGCTGGTTCACGATTTGTTTTATATTGTTCAATCCAATCATCAACAACTGTTTGTGGAGCTACTCTTCCCGACCGTATAGCTCCATAGAGGGTGTGCTCGTCTTCATCAAGTAAGGTTCCAGCACCTACAGAATAGTAGATAAATAATTACATTAGAGATAATAGGCAAAACAGTAAAAATAGCATTTGCTCTCCAAATATTCAACGTTTTATAGTAAATCAATTGAGATGGACTCGGTTATATTTGAATAGATGAAAAGACACCCAAACATCTTCGGATCAAAAATGTTCACTTTAGTTTTTGCACGTTGCTAGTATTTAGCGCTAAAGACTGGCGTTTGCAAACTCACTTTTGGATTATTTTACTAATGTCTGGAATTTGTTGCAATTAAACTGGAATAAGAGAAATGTAGTGATTTGATTGTAGATACCGTTAAGAACGAAAAATGTTGAGATGAGAAACGAGTTGGAAGATAGACGTTTATCGCCATAAATCAAGGACAGAAGATGCAGGAACTTTACGGGTTTATTTGAAAACAAAAACTCGACTGGGGGAGCAAACATTTACGTAACTTAAGAATATCATTGGACTTACCGACATCAAAAGTTGGATGAGTTGGGGGTCTTCCCCGCCGCTTTTTAGCTGGAGGTACATAGGGAGCTGGAGGGGCTTGGAAACCAGTAGAAACATGAGGATGTTGGTTACCAGAATGGTGAATATCGTTATCTCCGGAAGCACTGTTATTTAATTGCATGGATAAGTGATGTCCCGTATACTGAGAATTGGATAATTCAGTTGTTGTGTGGGCAGTCGTCTGTGGATTTTGCATTTGGGATGAATCTCCATGATAAGGATATACAGGTTGCTGTAAATGAGATGTATGAGTAAGGACATGTGACTGGTCTTGCAAATGATAGGCAGAAGTGTTGTAACTATCTTTCGAGATTGGTGGGGAATGATGCGATCCATGATGATCTATAGGAGAATATCGGGGATTTGAAGTGACAGCGGGATTATTGGGTTGCAGAGGATGGGGAATTTGTTGGTGAGCAGGTATTTGAATGCGCATTTGATTTACCTGATTCACAGGACTTGTATTGTGATTGGGGTGTGGTTTTGTTAACCGCTCATTGCTGTCATATACTTAAGTGAATAGAAACGAGTAAAATGTTTGGAAATATGAGAGATTTACACCACACATGATAAGAGTTATTTAGCATAGCTGGTCATAATGAACTCTTCATATCAGACCGAAATACGGAGTTACAGATTTTAAATGTGTAAACTAGAAAAACAACAGTATTGTGACACATTAACTTTTTTATGAATTGATGTAAGTCAACAATAAAATTATTGTTTGTGAATAAGTCAAAACAATGCTTAGCGACTGATAGATGCATTACCTAACTGCACGAACCGAAATAGGTGAAGAGCTGGTCAAAATTTAGATCCAATAGTACGGACGAACTAAACTACTAGCGAATGATGGGCGTAACGACATATGAAACAGATGTCAAATTCATCTGTTTTTACATTGTAAAATGTAAGTTAGTGAGCGAAACGAAATTTGAAAATAATCTATAACGGTATGCGCAAGCAGTTAACTAAGTAGGGGGAAATGTTATGGTTCCGTGTTTTGGACATAAAAGTTAGTTACTGGACCATGGGTTCACATCTTTCCCCACCTAGTACACCCTACATAACTATGTATCATCTCCAGATATGATATAATAGATGGACATATATAACCCTGGGTTGAGTTAGTGAGTTGCAATTTCCTTAGTATCTTTAATAAACATAAACTAATATTTATACTTCAATGATCGAGGTTGAATCATTTGGCGCAAGTAATTATCTACTTAATATGTATTAACTAATGAGACAGTGGATTGATGGTTAAATCTTTTAACTATTATGCCGCCTACTCTGGTTTTGGTAGCCGAATATTGTTGCTAGCCTCCATAAAATGTGGCCTAGAGCTGCGTACAAAAATTCAAACCTAGTAGGAGAGTTACCTTACCATGTCTTAACCCAAAACTATCCGATGAATTTCCATGAGAAAGATTTTTAGTTTGATCTGGACCAAGCGAATTTACAAACTGGCCGACTAAAGGACGCTTCCTGTTCCAAACTTCACATTTAACTCTGAAATTTCTTATTCGACTTTACTACATCCAAGACACAAGAAAATATACAGCTTATTTACATAGAGCTTTAGCGGTCACACTGCATTATCTTACCCAAAGTACTGAGCTTCAAATTATTTCGTACTCTCATTTTCTGAATCCATCTATTCTTGTTGAACTGTATTTTCCGGTATTTCGTATTTTTATTGTCGACTGTACTACTTTTTTACTATGATATCCAACTTGTTAATTCCAATTCACCCAGCTAAGTTAGTAAGACAACTTGAGAGTACTCATATTTGTCATAAGCTCTATGGTGGTTATGACTGAATGACGATACTACTTCGACTTTTATTACTACCACCAGTAAAATCAGATGACAAATGAACAGTTTTTGTATTGAAGATTGTCATTGAACCCGTTGAGACAAATAGAGAGTCTTAGGTATGCACAAGTAATAACGCGGTGTTGAAGGTATTTAGACTATCCTATGAATGTCATCAAATAGAAATAACTTTGGAGCTGCATCACAGTAACTCAGTAGTAAGTCAAAAGTTGCCTCCAAATGCATTGGTACGGCGGAGGGTGGGGAGAGCTCGCTCCCTCTCGAAATGCTCTCACATGGCCACACGTATACAATCACTGCCAAGGAAGTGCTACTAACTACCTCGCGGCATTACTGTTGTGTACGAAATTCAGAGGATAAAAAGTGAATGTCCGGAGCTTTAACTGTGATAGTGAACACAGAGGATCCATCAAGTGGATTTGGAAAACCCTGATTCCAAACCAATGGTGCACATGGGCTCCAGTACTTTGAGGGAACAAATGGCGTATGAACTGACCGTTGGTCACCGGCTACCATGGGACTGCATCTCCTTAAGCTGCTTCACTGCCTTGTGGATCAGACTTTTAGGTCGAAGGCTCCGGGTGTGGCCCCTTAAGAAAACCACCTGTTTCGGTCTGAGCACCCGAGCAGTATAACAGCTCTCACATAAATCAATGATAACTACTACTGGCCTCATTGTTACTGCGGCGCATATGTATGTGGTGCCCCCTTGTACCAGTGTTTGTGTCCAAATAAATAAAAGCTTGGTAACGTGGGGTTGAATATCCTGAGACAGCACTTGTTGATTAAACAAACAATACACACAAAATTGGAAGTCGTAACATGACAATTTTGCCGCTAACAAGCACAAATTTAACAGCTGTCGATTGGTTCTAACGTTATCTTTTGATCATATAGACCAGCACGTCATTGACAACCAACTGGATACTAATTTATACGATAACCGAAATTGACAAAACTGGCAACAGATACGCAATGATCAAGCTTTTCAAATTAAAAAATGTTCACATATCGTGACCAGTCAGTCAGCTACAACGTAGAGAAGATCGAGTGCATACACCTACGCCATTGTGATTGATTCTGAGCCATGTCACCGTCTCCAACTATTGGTTACGATAGTCACGCGAAACTAAACCAGGTAGTCCTTACCCGTCTAAATGACTCAGTTCAAAAGTCGGTGTTTCCATAGACTAATGTCATGTCTTAGTTTGGCCTCCCTTAGCCTTTCTCCAACCTACCCCTACACCAGCTACTATCGTGAGTCAAGGTAGTCAGTGGATGGGCATACGCGACACAAGTTTTAACTAATTCAGTCGATACAGATTCATTAACCCATCAGTCGATTTGCAATTCTTATTCAGAACCTCAGGATGGCGAAATTGATGGTTCTAAGGTACACAAGGGATAGTTCGAAAACATCTATGACCGTATACTAGCAACCTATAAATGTCCTCGATACTAGAATCCATGTTTCACAGGTATAAAGTATAAAGTAAATTTCTGATCTGTATGTTTATTCTTTCGTTGATTGACGGATATCTTGTCAATGTAAGTTGACAGCTAATCGAGCTTTTGTCTGACACCAATTGACTAAGGTTGTCGAGACTTAGGTAAAGTGACTGGTCCACTCAACTACTTCGCTTTATACTTCAAGCGTTGACGTGGAACAGCCCTCAAACATTATTTAGAACTTACAGGAGGGAACTTAATTTCAAATATGCCAGCATAGTTACTAAAAACGGTCAAAAGATCAAATAACTTGGGAATAAATAGCAATTTAGTTCCGTTTTAACAGTAAACAGGTTCCGTGACAGCAACTCAATCTGATCTCAGTTATGGTTTATTGTAATAGCCCATAAACAAATGCTGTTAGAGAATAAAGCAACATGTCATAATAGCATTTACTTTCAATATGCACTATTACTGGTATTTTCTCAGTTTCCTACACTAAATTCGTGAGTTTTAGTTCTTGAGAAGCGATCAGATGGATATTAATCATCTAACATTCAATGGACTTATAAATAAAAACTGGATATGCATTCAGTCTTTCTTTAGATCAAAAGATTCTCCAAGTTATTTAGTGCTTTTTGTTTAGAAGAATCATATTTTCTGCGTCTAATTATTACCACTATTATTACTACTATGGTATTCGTCTTGATGATTTCACTTCGTTTCGCTATCATGGTGAGACAAGTTAGACCGATGGAACATATGCTAAACTTTACGTCGCTTGTAACTGCGAATGAATTTGTAATAGATTCTATATTATATTAAGCCAGATGGCTTTAGAGATACTCTTATATCACAATACTAAGAAAAAGCGTACACCAAAAAGTTGGTGGCATTTTGTTAAATAGCAGTGTTTGGTTCTTAATAGCAAAACTAATTAAAAACGTAACATTACATGAGTTGCGTGTTTTGATTTGAAAGATATATAGGCTACATGGATAAAAAATATCGAACCAGAGGGTTGTCACTTGTAGTAGTAGTAGTAGTAGTACTATAAGCTCATACTAACCGTGTAGGAAAGCTGATTGGCAAGAACAGTCCGTGACGCTATGAAAAGCATGATGCCACTTTGCGAACTCAGCAGTACAGTAATAATACGGTTCCCTATCAATTCTAAATAAACACTAATTTATATTTATACGTGTCCACTTCTAAAAGAGCCTACTTCACACGTTGAAAACTAACCAGAATATCTGATACGATATAGATAATATGTAGAAATGACTAATATCAAACACGTTGACATGCATTCGTATGTGTAACCAAGCTCACCAATAATGAGCAAATCACTTTGGACAGATAAAAGCGTAAACAATTCGTCAAATGGAATACAAATCCATATTCCGAAACTATACCTTGAGGAGCGAAATGAGCTGACCGCTGATGTTGGATTTGCTGTTGCATCAAAATCTGCTGGACAGACGGGGTCGAATTGACATACGAGTCATGGACATGACCAAAATGATGGCCTTGTGACTGGATGCCAAACTGATTCGGGAGGCGGGTATTAGCACCCTCGTGTTGCAGATGCCCCGAACTAGGATGGGAAGACAGTGAACCACCAGAGACATGAGGGTGATGGGCATGGTACTAAAAAACACATTTACAATTTTGATTAATGCGTATGTCAAATGAAATTTGACAACAACTTCAGGTAATATGAAATGTACACTAGTGCACACAAGGTCGTACAAGAGTCTAATATTCGAAATACACGATAAAAATGAGGACTAACTGAAAACAGCTTTTAAAAATCGGCTAAACAACAGCTGTCATCTCACAGAAATGCCAAAAAATCATTTAAAATACACCAACCAACCTGATCCATTTGAAGGTTTACATCCATGGACGCAGCCATATTGTTTGATTTCATCGATCCCTGGTGAATTGTCAATTAAAACAATATTTCATGTGCAGATATCTTTCGGAGACATTTTGAAGTAACCGGAAATCGCAGCATGATGCTCGTTGTTATCAGCCTCACTAACAGCTCATATATATATTGTAGATTTAGCTGGAACACTACCATCAGGTATATGTCGTTTCACTAAGAATGGGGTTTTCGAGGTTAAGTAACTGACAACTATCTGAATTGACAGCCTAGTAGAATTAGTCCCTTCGTTTACTTGGTGTCAATGTCAAAATACCATCGCTTTCTCAACACACCCACTGGTGTACGTCAATTCAGAAATGAATACTTATAATTGGTGTTGTGATAACGTCGTTAGTGTTATGCGGTTATTAAAGCAGCCACGGTACCTGGATACGACTAAATAGTAATTCACGTCAGATACCAATCGTGTGACGTGATGTTGACGTTGGTTGGTTGGTCACACCATTCCCGTCTAACTCGACTAGGCCCATAATCATTCGACAAATATCATGTATATTGATTATCTGCACTGGTGGACAAGACTTCGGATAACGCAACCTATTATTATAATTTTTATGACTGGATTTCATACTTATTCTTTTTTGTCTGCATTATTACTTAATTTCGTCATTTACTTGGAGTATTCATTGTTTTCTCTCATTTTTTATCCGTATTCGAATTTGAATAGCTCGGTCGTTTGATGATAACAAACTATTCAACTGCGATTATAACCGGATATCATGGTTCTCTAACAATCACTAGAAGCATATGAGTGCTTCGTGTAATATAACTGTTAAAATATGAACTACTCATAAGTTCAACCACAAGGCAACGCAAGTGCACATCTGTCTGTAGCTTATGAATGCATGATTATAATTCATTTTCCTGCTTAACCAATTTGAACACAAATTTCGGTCACAAAATATAAACCATAATTTTGGTTTTACTTGACCGCTGCCTGCCCAATTTTCGGTTGCTGAGTTCCATGGTCAAACACAACAGACAAATGCTAGAAATTTACAATGAGTTTGGATTATAAACTTCCTTTAGTCACAAATTTAGGTCAAATTTTTCATTCAGTTAGTGTTAATGTAGCGGTAAATAAATCCCCAAAACAAATAGCTCTGTAAGTTTTCAACATTGGATGCTGACCACTTAGCTGAAGGCACTCGGTCATGCATCCGTACCAGATCACGAGTGGGAACGCCGTGCTCAACAACCCATGCAATCGCCAGCCAGACTAGATCAGACGATCCTCGATATATTGATAGCCTATCAAATATATCTTCGACCCTCCTCGCTTCTGTCTTTTGATTTCACTAGGTGAGTACGCTTCATATTAAACGGTGTTACCGGTTAAAGCATTGTCAAACTCCGAGCGCCTTCGGCATCTTCACTACGTATTTTGCCCGAATTGTCTTTGGATCTATGCAAACTCTGTGCTAAACCAAGAATTAAATTACCAGTACTTTGCATATTATCCGAATCCCTTGGGATTTACATCATATTGAGATTCTGTCTTTGGAAATAGATATGACATACATTTCAGAAATATCTAAACTGCATTATCAGGCAAGTGCTTACTTAGAATCCGGAGCAGAAACGAGAAACAGAAAGGTCTAAAAACATACTGCATCGAAAATCGGAGGGAGACATGAGAAGAATGAATGGTAACTAGGAAGAACTGGAAAGGATTGCCCAGGACATAGTTGAATCCAGGTTGCTGCTGAATTGACCACGCTCCTCCATGAGGAGTAACAGGAATAAGTAGGTAAGCAAGCAAATAAGTAAGTAAACAAGTAATAACTGTCTACTTTAAATCCGCATTACCTAGGATCGAGAGTAACAGGCGAGTACGCTAATTACATTAGCTGATTTCGTACCACGTTGATGGTGCCTCATGACACTTCGCAGTTAATTTTCTTGTAAAACAGTCACATATTTAGACATTTCTCTCAGGTTTTAATCGGCATCATGTATTTTATATGTAGTAAGTCGACATACTACGGAATAGCATGTACACAAGCAATCTCAACCAAATTCTTAAATAGATACTTCATCGTATTACCGTGCGTAACACGTTATTTGACGCTAGAAAATAAGATTTCTCGATAGGCTTCCTATGAGATAGCCACGTTATCTGCATCTAAACTTTAGTTATTTTGGTGATTACCATTTTCATTAATGACTGCTAACCGATTTGCATTTACTGTTATCTCACATGGAAAAATATGACTCGAATTCCCCATTACAAGCGCGTCATCTTAAATTAGCCGTTAGTTTATTTACATTTATCGAACGGTCCATAGAATTATACAACAACATCATCATAGTCATCATGTATATTTCAACTTCCGTATATTAACATTAGACAAGTGATATTTAAAGATATGACAACAAAAATGGTGAAATCCGAATTCCTTCGAAATTCACGAGGCTGATGCCCCTTTCAACAACCAGAGCAGCAATTAATTTAGTTACATGGAATGCTCGTACAATGTGAGAGATTGGGAGAGTCTTCCGATTTACTGCAGAAAAAAATATAATATTAGTTTATTAATAGTTCTCAGAAGTTACCCGTAGTTTAATCTTCACTAGGATATAACACATTACATACATATTGATCATAAAAAGATGAGTAGAATTTAAAGCTACTTTCCATCATAAGTTAATATGTAGAATTGTGGTCTACTATAATATTAGTACTGCTCTAATAATAGACCTCATCCTAAATTTGTAGATTTGTCATGATATAACTGCCTAATCTATAAGATCTTACGTGGAAGTCACACCATCGACTACACCAACTCACTGTATCGTATCAATTACCAATACATTATGTAGAACAAGGTTAGGCTAGAGAAAGAACAATATATTTAATATGAATAGAAGATATAAAGTAACATTGAGATGGACCACGCCTGCATGGTCGAGCCATGCCATACGATCAACTCCAGTCCATTCAATTCCTTCTTTGCGCCTTCTCCATTGTTAGGTATTTATCCGCGTTAAATATTGAATATCTATTTTCTGAGTAGTCTCGTGTTCAGCTTAGTGGATTGTGCGGTTATTGTTCAATGCCACTACAAATATTCGTTAACGAATCATAAAGATCCTAGAACAATCAATTAATGTACGTCCTGAACCGTTACTTATCCATAACTTCTGTCACTACGTTTCGTATCATAATGTTCGGGCATTGAATAGGTATTAAATAATAATATAGATTTCACAAATTAAGTTAGTTAGAATTACTGCTTGAGCATCTGGGCTACCTGTTCTTGCCATCTAGACATTTCAACATGTTATCTATTTTTGTTTGTTTTAATAGTACAACGCGCGCTATTTAAAAAGGACAGTGGTATTTTTCCTCGCTGAGTAAATTTCATTGTTTTGATCGTTTATTACGTATCAAGACTACTGTTTTTCACTTTAATTGAATTTATTTCAGTTAAAGTATTCGACTAAAGTATCGTTTTTACTGTTTTGTCGTTGGTACTCTTTAGTACCTCTTTTTCAACTGTATCTGTTAGTACTTTTGGTCCTAGCAATCTACAGCTCTTCACTTTTTTTGGTCATTGATAATTTTTTTTGTTTCTGGGTATCATCGCATATTGAAAAAAACCCTCCTAAATGACCGGACAGTGTAAAAAAAGCATTTGCCAACGTCCGGGTTGTCGTTATCCTGTTGAAAGCAGCATGCAGTGCGACGAGTGCAAAGGCTGGTACGACGAAGTTTGCACGAACGTAACGCCTGCTGCTTTCAAACGGTTCAGTAAGAAGGGTTGTGTGTGGCTTTGTCAACAGTGCTGCTCGGATGCAAACAGCTTGTTAACCGAGGCCATCTCACTGGTTGATGCTGCAAAGAAGTGTTTTAACAAGCATAGTCGGAACGTGTCAAACAGCACTCGATCCGTTGACACGCAAATCAATGTGAAGGAAACTAAGGTGAGTCCGGTGATAGATGACTCACGCCCGTCAAAGAAGGAAAAGCAGTCTCCAAAGGGGCCTGCCTTAAAAAAAGCTCGAGAAAAGTAGGGTCTTCTGTTCCCCGTCTCCCAGATGGGATCCAACAGGAAACACCTAGGAGCCGCAATCGCAAGGCTCGATCGGTTTCAAATGGTAAACATAACACGACCCCTCAGGTCGTCGACAACCCCCCAAAACCCAACGCTAGGTTTGACGCAACTGCTATTGCTTCTACCAGCACCGTTGACGAATGGGTAAAGGTTGTAAGGAAGAAAAGTATTGATATAAAAGGGAAACCTGCCCCGTAAAAGTGGTTGAAAAATCGAAAGCTGGTCACAGCGACAGATCAGTTATTTTTCATAGAATTAAGGAGAGCGATAGCTCTGAACCTAAAGCTCGTTTTGAGCATGACATTGTACTGATTAGGCAGCTGCTTAATCAACTCATGCCTCAAAATATGACTGGGGTCACCTTGCTAAAGGTGTATAGACTAGGGAGTCAAACGGACTCGAAACCAAATCATTCCAGACTGCTTAAAGTAGTATTCGGCTCTTCAAACGAACGTGACCTAATTTTACAAAATGGACACAAATTAAAGGGTTCAGGAGTCTTTATCCGAAAGGACCTACCGCTGGCAGACCGTGTTAAAAGACGGGAAGCCGAGAAAGAACTACAACATAGGTTAGACGCTGGCGAAAAGGACCTGAAAATTGTAAATTTTCGGGTTGTAAGACTTCGACAGAGAATGATGCCGAAGCCACTCTGGGTGAAGCACGAAGGCACTTAAACAGGCTTCGGATCTGTTACACCAATGCACAAAGCTTACTTAATAAGCGATCGGAACTAGGTGTACAGATTGACTCTATAGAGCCAGATATAATCGCAGTAACAGAAACCTGGCTGACACAGGCTATAGATAGTATAGAACTTTATTTCGAGGGCTTTACGTTAGTAAGGGCCGACAGAACACAAAAGCGCAAAGGAGGTGGAGTAGCTCTATTCATTAGGAATGCTATCCCATTT